CGAAGTTGTACAAAAGCAGCAGCAGCAGCAACAGAAAACAAACGCAGAAAATCCAATACGAAAATAATCCCAAAAGATAATCCAATTTTATTGGCGAAAAGTTAATGCTGAATCGTCGTTTCCATCATTTCTTCTCCAATTTGCGGATTTTGTTTTAGCACAAAAGCGGAATAAAATAATTTTTTTCTGTTTAAAAACACTCACCATTCACCATGGCTACTTGGCCACAGCGCGATGTTGAAACACTTTAAAGAAACAAATTTTGCCACTCTTCTGCGTGCACAATAAAAAACATTAATCACTCTTTTATTTTTAATTCTCTTGCTTAATAGAGTACACTTCTTATTCACTCAAAGTCTGAACTAAGACTGAATTTCGCTCTCGCGATGCTGAGAGTTTTATTAATTGAGGTGCAAGAGATACAGATGAATGTTACAAAACAATACATACACCTTAAGATACGAGTTTCTCTCTTCGGTTTCTCTCACCTACAGCACACCAACGAAAGATTTCTCAGGTGAAAGAAACCCGACAATAGCCGAAAGACGAAACCACGACTATTCGCTACGAATTTAACCATATGTGTTGATGATTTTGCTCTCCCGCACACGCGAAAACAGATACACTCAACATCGAAGAGAGCGATAAATTCATTTGTTCACGTGTTCGCTTTGTGCGGATCTTCTTGAATCGCCAGTGCGGCCGCCGCAACCGATTCAACACCTATACATTCAAAACGGATCGCAATGAAGAACGAACGAACGAATAAAACTGACGAAGAGAAGTGAATGCGCGCAAATAGCTTTAGCACTCGAATCGAGTTAATTGTTACGGGCTGGTAAGTCAAACGTTGTTCGCTCTTACGCGAATGCCACATTCTTCTTACCTACTAAAAAAGTGATGAATGTACGTTGCTGATCTCGGGTGGCAGGCACTACAAGCGCGCGCGCGTTGTGCGCTCTTATAGTGTGTTGTATCCATTCTATACACATGATACGTATTCTCGACACGGTTTGTATACACGAAGAAGGTAATGCCGGATAAGAGTTAGTCAGTTGTTAACCGTTTTGTTTACACACGCGCCCGCGCGCCGCAACAGCAACGACCATGCTGGATCATGACGAATGCATGTGGTGTGGCTGATGACGATGCATCAAGTGATCACATCATAACACAGACACTCGCACCTGTGCAACCGTTTCGTTGTGTATTCGACAATGGGTCTCTTGCGTTCGCTGAGCTTCGGATGTAAACAGAGAGCCGAGAGAGAGCCAATTGATCGTTCGACTCTCTGCTCTCCGGAATGGAGTAACTCAAACAGCGAGAGAGAAATGTGTGTGTGTTAGTAATGAAGCATGGTCCGATCATATGTTTACATGAGGCATGTGCACCGGCAGGTAAAAACTTTGTGCCGGTTCCAGTTTTTTCTCCGTTCATTTTTTTCTCGTTTCATTGAATCACACGAACTGAAAATATCGATGCGTAAACAGAGAGCAAGAGACATGAGTCGTTCGTCGTAAGTGTGTATTTTTCGTTTGCATGCAGACGGTTGGGTGAATTGTTGGAATCGATGACACGATATTTTGCGGCGAGTGCATACAAAAACGAGAGAACTGTGACGATCAATCAAAAAAGATGAAGAGATACAGAGAAGGCTTGCCTTTCGGTGTACACCTACGGGACTAAGCTGAACGGCAATTTATTACTTACCTTCACATTTTTGTTTTTATTTTTCCTTTCTGTTTCGTTTTCTTCTCCTCTCGTTTCGTTTATATTTGTATTTTTTGATGCGACTTATTTGTTCGTACGATTCGTTTGCATACGAGCAATCACTTTTTTATATGCATAGCGCGCGCGCAAACCCATACACGAAAGTCGGTGCCGAGTGCACATTCATTTCGTGTTTAAACGGTTTGTTTACCATGCTCAAGAGCGCATCGTTTCACGCTAATCACAGAATTTCCACAGGTTCAGGGTTTTCTTTCAAACAAGCCGGCATTTTTTTGCCATTAAAAACTTCTCACTTTTGTTGTGTACCGTTTTTTTTATTTCTTTGTTTGCTCTTTATTGAGTTGCTTTGAAATGATATTCTTAAGTTAGTTTCTATGGGATGGCTCATCTTATTGATAAATTGTCATCTTGGAATGTCCTAATAAGCGACTTATTTATTTACTTCTCTATAGACAAAACAGAAAATGGTCGATAACATTTCTCTTTTCTACTCGAATTTTCTCGTGTCACGTACACTTTAAAGCCGATTTTTGTTTCCATTGATTCGAAATGTACCCAGAAAGATCTGTTCAATTGATATTTCTGTTTTCTTTTTTTTTCATTATTATCGAATGCATCTCGATTTCTTATACAATATACATAAGACTAAAAGGTAAAAGTCATTGGTTTTTTTACGCTTGATTCTTCACAAATGACCTGGCAATTTGTTACCCCTCAATTTGAACATATTTTAAACGAAAACATTTTTTGTGTGTGTGTATCCTTTTTTGGGTGTATCAATAAAAACTAGCGTTAAAACTTGAGATTTTATTTCGTATTTGTCACGCCAAGCATCAAAATGAAATAGATCCTTTTTCAATGGCAAAATCAAACAGAGTGAGTTCCAAGAGTCGCATGAAAATTTCAGCATTCTTTTTTATTGTACAACCACACTATCGATGAACATATTATCTGCTTGTTTTTGAGTCTAGTACAGTCTCTGGTAGAGATTACTGAACGTCATGAGCTTGGCTCCAAGATGTAGCTTTGAACTTGGTTTGAAGAAATACATCACGTTATTTGACTTTTCCCAGAATTAGTTTATTCTTATGCTTGGCCGTATTTGTTAAAAAACACCATTAAGATTTACTGATAAAAATGGTGCTTAGAACGAGGCTGATCAAAACTTATCGATGTTTAGAGTAAAAATCACAAAATTTTCTTTCGATGTGAAAGTTATTAAAATCTTAAATTGTAAGGTACTCATACCGTTCCTATTGATTGCTTTCAAAAGCTTATTTTTAATTGAATTGATATCGAATCAAATGCAGTTCGAACTTGTGAGGCATTTTTTATTTGCACCGCGATTAAAAGTGGACTACTATGTTATGTGCTTTAGAAAATCGACCTAAATTTTCTGTGCTCCAGTGAAAACCTTATTACCGAAAGAAAAATGTGCCACGCAACTGGCTTGAAACAACATTTTCAATGAAGAGCTGCTGCTGCTGTTGTTGAATTTGTTCATGAGAAAAGTGGAATGGCTCTTCAAATTCTGAGATTTTAATTCTCATAAGTGGGACCTAACTTATAAAAAGTGCATGCGAGACAAATCAAATGGATTCGTTCCAAACGAATGACGGGATTCAATTTACATTTTCCATTCGATTCGATACTCATCCACACAAATGAGATGTACAAGTGTTGCCCAATTTTCACGTTGAGCCATTGTAATGAATTCATTCCACTTGGATTGAACCTCCCAGCCGCGTTCCCTTAGTGTTGTACGGTCTTGAAGATGAGACATGGCATAAAAGTATGCCTTGAGAACGTCTTGTGGCCGAGCGTCAACATGCAAATAAATGCCAATGAATTTTTTGCCCTCGGCAATCAAAAATTTCTCGTTGGTCTTGTCAAACTGCATTATGATGTTTTCAATTTCAGGCGTTGACCGAATTTGTTCAATTAAATGTTGAATAGAGAGTCCGACACGGATTGGCAACGACACTGACACCATGCGACCAATTGTTACTCGCTCCAACGAATTGACCGATTCGACGGATAGAACTTTCCCCGATCGGAAGTACTCTTCTAAGGCGATCAAATATCTGGACTCGTTGAACGTACGCAAACGCACCGCTTCCACAGCTCGAATGTTCGCGACAATGTGCATGACGATGCTGAAGAAAAATATTGATAGCAGAACTCTGGAAAATAGAAATTCGTTTGGATGTGAGATTGTAGGTTCAATGACTGAATATGAAAACCTTTTCGAAGGGTTCGCCAAAAAAGAGATATGTGGAAGAATTGAAGCAATGAAACTTACGTATGACTAATAACCGCCGATAAAAGATACAGTCCCACAAATGAAGCAATTAAATTAACAGCCGTTTCTTGAGAGTTGTCTTTCGATGCAACGTCGGCCAAATTTCCACGAATCGCATGATGCTGAGTCAACGCGAAACGCGTTGCTCCACCAGCAACTCCAACAATTGCCTTCATCGAAGTTGTGGCGCAAAAAATATGCGTAGTATAATTTTCATATCGCGGCAAAACCAAAATTTCTATGGCCATGGCTACGTCGTTCAATATATCGGCACGAATACGCCATTTCTTTGAATCGATATCGAGCTGAGATCTGGAACGATAGATTATTTTTAAGTTGATTAGATTAAGTTGGTTTTTTTGTCCATTAGAAATTCCGAATTTTCGGACTTTAAACTCGGATTCAATTCAATTCAAAACATTAACACATTTTCTACCGAGCAGAAAAAGGGTTATGCACTTCTTCAAATATTGAATTGAAAAGATCAAAATGTTGAATGATGAATTGAAGTTAGGAGAGAAAGAATGGAACTTCACCCTTTCCACCAAGCGAACAAAATTTTCCCAAAGTGTCCTGCACCATCTTTCAACACCTAAAATTGAAAAAAAAAGCCTTTGTTAACGTCTGTATATGAATTTGTGCAATTGAGCGTGGTTTACCCATGCAACTGTAGCGGAAATTGGATTCACGATATCGCTGCCGACTCCGACTCCTTTGAGAAAATCAAAAGGAAAAAAAAATAAATTTTGTCATCATTCATTAGATATACCATTTTTATGTTGCATCGGTAGATGCACTTGCCTTTGAGAATGGCATGAGTTGACAGTGTTCCTGAGGGAGAATCGAATTTATAAAATATTTTTCAACGAATGAGATACTATGTATAATTTTCTTGCTGGATTAATTTAGCTTACCGTTTATTGTCGAGCAAAAGGCCTGAACTGTATCCCAGAATTGGTAGTGAATGTAATCCTCGCTTACACTGTCTGGGTACCCTTGTGGTAAGAATAAATTCTTGAATATTCTGTACAAAGCGAAATTCTCACTAATCAACGGCTTTTCGTCAACAGAGACTCTGGTTAGTGGCACTCTGACTATTGATTCTTGATCTGAAACAAGAAATTTGGTATCATCATCCCAAAATATTTTCTCTGAAGAATTATAATTTCGAAATAACAGTGAACAATTGATGTGTTTTTTCTTAACAATGAAACTCATAAAACACTGCATTTGACAATCATTTTAAAAACTTTTTATGACATATTTTACTCGAAAAATATTCGGAATAGGTGTGTAATACGTCAACGTGAGAAAGTAAATTTTCGAAACATTCCGATCGATAATAAATGAACGGAAGTCGCTAGTAAATAACTAAAAACGCGATCGTAAAAAAATAAATCATAAAATTAGCATATCGATTTTTAAATCGCCATAGAAACCACTTAAAAATGCTCAACGTATGTGTTGCACACGAAGGTAACATAATAACGACAATCGATCATTCTTTCGTGTGACACAATTCTTATTGTCCACTTCACCACATGAAATCCATTTGTAAAAATGTCCTAATTTGCAAGGCCATCCTTTGCAAGAATTTTTAATGAATTTTCAAAAGAAATGAGGTAAAATCACTTGACATTTTACCTGCTGGTGTTACGTATAAGATTTCTTCGCCTTTTGTTCCATATTTCTCACGAAAATGAACCCGCATCGTATTTACCAAATATTCCACCCTTCAAATTGCCGAATCAATTATTAGTGGGATCAAAACACTGTCTTATCTTTTATAGCAAAACAACAATTTTATGGACGATATCCTGATGTGGTTTATTTACTACAAAAGAGAAATTTTTGACAATAACAAGCAACCAATGACAGCTACCAGTTGACATGGGCACACATCCACTGAACCATATGTCAAACAGCAGATAAACTGACTGCCGCTATTTATTATCCAAACTACACGTGAAATGCGGATAAAATACCTTTCAAATGAACAGTGAGCATACGAAAAATGTGCCGTATTTTTCCACAAACAACAAATGGGTCACATTTCTAGAAGCATCAACAAAAACAGACCGGAAAAAAAATGATATTTCTATTTTGGGTACATGTGAATGCGGCTTTCCCTAGCAATTGGGATTATATTACTGTACTTGTACTTGCTGATTAGCGACTGTTTATATAATTTCCACTTCAAGATGATTTCACGATTCATGAGTTGCAATATTTTATCTTCGATACTTGTATCGAAATGTTGAATTTGAAAGTAGGAATATTTCAAGGAAAAAATTACGAAAAATAAATTTTTGCTCGTTAAAAAAATAAATATTCGAAATTTGACTAGAAAAATACTTTTTTGTCCATAAAAATGAAAATAGCATTCATCTGTATAACAAATATTAAATTCAATATATTTCATCATTCTGTGCAACAAACTCCTTCAGCCACAATTTATTATTGTATCAAAATGTGTGCGAATTACGCAGTAAAATGCAATTCATTCAAGTATTTCAAATGTATGGCGCGAATTGCCAGTGGTTTTATCTGGCAATGGAAATCAGGTAACACCGAGAAAAATGTGAACGTATATGATGACACGGCAGTGCCGTCTTTCGATCATTTTTGGTACGACAACGTACCCATTCACCGAGCCAACTAAGATTTTCTCTTCCTTTTACAAAGAAACGCCATTAGAGGCGTGTTGTGTTTTACGTTTGGTCTGGAAATAAATCACTAAACATCCAAAATGGTATGTAAATTTTTTAAATAAAATTCGTGTAAAATGCCGGCGAACATCTTGTTTAATTCAAATGCATTGATATTTTCTGCGGAAAACCCGATGGAATTATTTTTTTTTCGTGAGAAAGAACATCCGTAGTCGAAAAAAGTTTGTTAGAGAAAAAAGCGATGACGTATACGGAATGAATACCGAAAACATGTGAAACTAAATTTTGTTTGAAAATGTGCGGTTCAAATTGAATGAATGGTCAAATATGTTCGTTTTATGTGAAAAAGAAAAGTGATTGCAATGGGTTGCTGCAAGAAATGGATTCGTAGAATTAATTACATGGATTGACTGTGTGTTGTGTCTGACCCGAATACAATTGCACTTCGCAATGACGCAAATGCAATTGTGACATTGCAACGACCCGATTGTTGGTCGATTGCATGCGTCGATATGAAATTCCATCGCTCAATGCCCTAATATTAAATTTTTCGACTTTTTTTTGGCGTTTCTTTTTTGTAGGTGAACTTCACTGTTGACGAAATCCGTGCCATGATGGACAAAAAGAAGAACATTCGTAATATGTCCGTCATTGCTCACGTCGATCACGGTAAATCAACTTTGACCGATTCGTTGGTGTCAAAGGCCGGTATCATTGCTGGTGCTAAGGCTGGTGAAACCCGTTTCACCGACACCCGTAAAGATGAACAAGAACGTTGTATTACCATCAAATCAACGTAGGTGTTGTTTTTTTCTTCCTAGTTTGCAAGCATTTTTTTTTGCCTGTGTGACCAAACATAACCTCAAAATTGTTTTTTCACCGGACTACAAATAAACCCATGCCGTTTCATGTTTGATTGATGCATTTATTCAATTTCACAGGGCCATTTCTATGTTCTTCGAGCTTGACGAAAAAGATATGGTTTTCATCACCTCAGCAGATCAAACCGAAAAGGGTGAACGTGGTTTCTTGATCAATTTGATCGATTCACCCGGTCACGTTGATTTCTCATCCGAAGTAACAGCTGCCCTTCGTGTCACCGACGGTGCTCTCGTCGTCGTCGACTGTGTTTCAGGTAAATCTCCATTTCATTTGTCATAACATGTATTTATCATTCAAATTCCAAGGCAAGTTAATCCTCCGCGTGGTTTTGGTTATTGTTATTCAATCATACGGTCCTAAATACTTGCGAGAATAATTTTGCATAGGATTTGGCATTTGTTTTGTACATTTTACCAACAAAATGAATGGGAAATCGCATGGAACATTCCTCACTTGAAAACAAAGCAATCTTGGAATTTGATAAAATTTGCACGAAGCAAGATTAACGTGACCGTATGATTAAAACCCAGATCATTCGGGCTCATAACTTGCAAGAGCAAAACTCTTTTGCATTTGGCGTTCATTTTGTTCACACACTCAAATTGAATGCAGAATTCAAAACGACACATTCTTGCTATCTCCTGGCATACTTTCTTTATTTGTCACAATCAAATGCGCTGATAACCTTGTATACCTACGCCACATGGTGTTGGGCAATATTCGAGCGCAACGTTCATTTTTATCAATGTCTACATTGTTTATATGTTTTTGTTGTTTCTTTTTTCTCTATTTTTTCCGCTTTTAGGTGTGTGCGTGCAAACCGAAACTGTATTGCGTCAAGCCATCGCTGAACGTATCAAGCCAATTTTGTTCATGAACAAAATGGACCGTGCTTTGCTTGAATTGCAATTGGGATCGGAAGAATTGTACCAAACTTTCCAACGTATCGTCGAAAACGTAAACGTCATCATCGCCACCTACAATGACGATTCAGGACCAATGGGTGAAGTGCGTGTCGATCCATCAAAGGGTTCAGTCGGTTTCGGTTCCGGTCTTCACGGTTGGGCCTTCACCTTGAAACAATTCTCCGAATTGTATGCCGACAAATTCAAGATTGAAGTTGTTAAGTTGATGAACCGTTTGTGGGGTGAAAACTTCTTCAATCCAAAAACCAAGAAGTGGTCGAAGACCAAGGATAACGACAACAAACGTTCATTTTGTATGTACGTGTTGGACCCAATCTACAAAGTGTTCGATGCTATCATGAACTACAAGAAGGAAGAAATCGACAGCTTGTTGCCCAAAATCGGTGTTACATTGAAGCACGAAGACAAAGACAAGGACGGCAAACAATTGTTGAAGATTGTCATGAGAACCTGGTTGCCAGCTGGTGAATCATTGCTTCAGATGATTGCCATCCATTTGCCATCACCAGTCGTTGCCCAAAAATACAGAATGGAAATGTTGTACGAAGGTCCATTGGACGATGAAGCTGCCGTTGCTGTCAAGAACTGCGATGCTAACGGTCCATTGATGATGTAAGTATACACTTGATCGCCGACAATCCAATTTCTCTTGCTCTAATATTCAATTTAATATCAAAAAATCTAATCGAAATCATTTTGAATTTCTTAGGTACATCTCAAAAATGGTACCGACCAGCGACAAAGGTCGTTTCTACGCTTTCGGTCGTGTCTTTTCGGGTAAAGTTGCCACTGGCCAAAAATGCCGTATCATGGGCCCGAACTTCACCCCAGGCAAGAAAGAAGATTTGTACGAAAAGGCCATCCAACGTACCATTTTGATGATGGGCCGTTACGTTGAAGCCATCGAAGATGTTCCATCTGGTAACATTTGCGGTTTGGTCGGTGTCGATCAATTCCTGGTAAAGACCGGTACAATTACCACCTTCAAGGATGCTCACAACATGAAGGTCATGAAATTCTCAGTGTCACCTGTCGTGCGTGTTGCTGTTGAACCCAAAAATCCAGCTGATTTGCCAAAATTGGTTGAAGGTTTGAAACGTTTGGCCAAATCCGATCCTATGGTACAATGTATCATCGAAGAATCCGGTGAACACATCATCGCTGGTGCCGGTGAATTGCATTTGGAAATTTGCTTGAAGGATTTGGAAGAAGATCACGCTTGTATCCCATTGAAGAAATCCGACCCAGTCGTCTCATACCGTGAAACCGTAGCCGAAGAATCCGATCAAACTTGCTTGTCAAAATCACCAAACAAGCACAACCGTTTGTTCATGAAGGCCGTGCCAATGCCAGATGGTTTGCCGGAAGATATCGACAAGGGTGAAGTTAACCCACGTGACGATTTCAAGGTTCGTGCACGTTTCTTGTCCGAGAAATACGAATACGATGTCACTGAAGCCCGTAAAATCTGGTGCTTCGGTCCAGACGGTACTGGTCCAAACATCTTGGTCGACTGCACAAAGGGAGTCCAATACTTGAACGAAATCAAGGTTAGTTTCAGTTTTTTTTTCTTTGCTAAAGTGAAAATGTTTTTTTTTGTTTCAATATTACATTGAGATCCTTTGAAGGATATTCATTCAATTGCATCATTTCACAACTAATCAATTTATGTGTTTGTCTTTGTTCAGGATTCAGTCGTTGCTGGTTTCCAATGGGCATCGAAAGAAGGTGTCTTGGCTGATGAAAACATGCGTGGTGTTCGTTTCAACATCTATGATGTCACCCTTCACGCTGATGCTATCCATCGTGGTGGTGGTCAAATCATTCCAACTGCTCGTCGTTGCTTGTATGCTTGCGCTATTACAGCCAAGCCACGTTTGATGGAACCAGTATACTTGTGCGAAATCCAATGTCCAGAAGTTGCTGTCGGTGGTATCTATGGTGTGTTGAACAGACGTCGTGGTCACGTATTCGAAGAAAGTCAAGTTGCTGGTACACCTATGTTCGTAGTTAGAGCGTATTTGCCAGTCAACGAATCATTCGGTTTCACAGCCGATTTGAGGTATGTACTTCATATGAAATTGCTCTTTTCCATATTCGAACACATCAGATAACCAGTCATGTCTTAGTTTTCATTACTTAACACAATTCCACACATGAACTCATATACAATTCAACATTGCGCACCTGGCATTAACATACGTTAATCTCATTTCTTTAACTTCTTTTTTGCAGATCAAACACCGGTGGTCAAGCTTTCCCACAATGTGTATTCGATCACTGGCAAGTATTCCCAGGTGATCCAATGGAAGCAGGATCGAAATTGTACAACATCGTCCAAGATATCCGTAAACGTAAGGGTCTTAAGGACGGCCTTCCAGATTTGTCTCAATACTTAGATAAATTATAAACGAACAATGCAGTTAACCAGCCAACAACAATGATAACTCCAGTTCGCATATAAGGCTAAAAACATTTCTATTAATTTTCAACAAAAAAAATTAAAATACAACAACAAAAATTACAATTAACATCCGAAACGAACAGCAGGACGACGAAAGAAATAATGTGGAAACTTCAGTGAATTTAACAATCCAAGCAGCCAATGAAGAGAAACCGAAAAAATAATAATACGAACCGTTTATTAAATGCATTTTTGTTGTTTTACGTTTTACAATCTATTTGAAATGAAACAAGCGCATGTGTGAATGCAAAAAGTTACATATTATATTTTTTCAGTTCGTTTTGAAAAGCAAACCATTTTTATTGATTAAAAAAGAAATAAAGAATTTCACCTTGTTTTGTAAACAATGTACTCATTTTTGATGATGATATAAAATGCAAAGGATGTTATTGGAAACAATGCGGTAATTGGTGTGTGTTTACTTCCATAGTTCAGTTCAATTTTTCCTTCTTTTCGTTTAGCTTCAGCATATTTGATTTCTTTCATTTTTTTCATATGATCGAATGGCATCTTCTTATTCGTAATGAAGCGTATCAGATTTGAATTTGAAAAGTAAACTTCATATGCAAATATTATTCTCAATCAAATCGAATGGAATTTCATCACACGTGTATCAATTTGAGTCTATTCATTTGCTGAATCAGCGACATCTATCGGCGTAGAGCTTAACTGAAACTTGTCTGTCGCTGGTCATTTACTCGCAGCGATGAATGTCACTTCGAAAAATTGACTTTCAACAGAAAACAAATAAACAACTTGACAAGTATTGCTGAGACTGTCGGAGTCGCTTCACTTTCACCATAAAAAGATATGGACCAGAAACAGGCCAATGGCGAGTGATTAATTAAGTTGGTTTAAAATCAAAGAAAAAACTTTTTCAAAATTTTCATTTATAAAAAACTTTTAGTGCAGTGATTTAGATTACTTAAGAAGAAAAATGATTGATCCGCTGGATATAAGAACAGCGATTTCGACGGCAAATGAGCCGTATATTTTGCGGAATTTTCATTTGGATTGGGAAATATTTCGGCTTACTTTTGATGACTGGTGCCAAAGAATGGATAAGCACATTCGAAATGAAGCGGTTCAATTCACCAGCGGCACGATGAAACACTGTGACATCCCGTATTGGGAACGATTTCGAACACATGAACATTTAACGTTTAGTGAATTTACAAAGAAATCAATCGGAGATGCTTTCAACGATCGATGGTACTCACATAGTTACAGAGATATTCTCTCATGGCCAGAGAGTCTAAGTAAATCGATATCATTCGCAAAGCTTGGATTTGAGAACACAGAAGACATTCTCTTTTGGCTTGGATCGAAAGGTGCCAACACACCGTGTCACTACGATACATATGGTTTCAATATCGTTGTTCAAGTATTTGGTAGAAAGTCATGGCTGCTGTTCCCACCAAAAACACCAATAACAGCTACTCGTGTCCCATTTGAAGAGTCTAGTGTTTATTGCAAACAGAATTTCTATAGTCCAGCTGATATGGATCAATTTGGCGGTAGGATGACTGACGAATTTTTACTTTTTAGTTACTATTTTTAATTTATTGAAAAACAAGGAGAAAAATTATTCTTTTTTCCCTCGGTTATGAAGCACTGCTCATTTACTATCCTTTAATTCAGAATCTTTTTCTATTCCAATTTGACAGATATCGGTAAAAATCAAGACGCCTTTGAAGTAACTTTGAGTCCAGGCGATATATTAATTGTACCAGCAAACTGGTGGCACTATGTGGAGAATTTAGAAACGAGCTTAACTGTTAACACATGGATACCTTTGGTAGGTGATCTGTTGTGTTGTTGAATCAGTTCAGCAAAATACACTTCGTTCATAAGGAAGATGTTTTTTTTCATTTTTCTAAATTACATTTGTTCAATTTATCTTTAGAATGTGAAGGACTCATTAGCGCGCCTTGGCGAGTGTTTTGTGCGAATGCAAATTGAGCAAATAACTGCCGATGATTCCGATTTTGGAAATGAAGAGCTCAGAAAATACATTTACAATCCGAATGAAATGAATGAGCCCGATTTAAATCTAATGAATTTATTCAAACCATTGGCTGATGTAGTGATAGAGAACACAAAGAATGAAGATCCACTCGATTCACAGGAAACTCTAAGTCGTGGGCAGGAAATTCGCGACAAATACCATAGCACATTTCACAAAGTAGAACCCGTAAGCCACGATAGATTTAGACAGATTTTACTACAAAACTCAGTTCGTCACGAGCACGCTTTGGATGAACGAAAAATCAACGGAATGCGATTCCAAGAGGTGGAAAATGTAATTAATGCCGTTTGTCACCCGAAGACAGTTGACAGCGCATGCCAACTGTATTTGCAGCAAATTCGAAATGAAATTAGTAAAAACGGTCTCGTGATAAAGTAAAATGGATTTTTCGAAGATAAGATGCCTGTGTTTTAATAGCCAAATAAAAATCAAATAAGAAATTGAAAAGAATGAAATAGTGTTTTAGCTATAGGCTGCATTTTATTACTGGGAAAATTTCTAGATAACACCGAGATAAGTAGGTAAATACAAATTAAAGAAAAAGATTCAACCTTCCGGAAAATAGTGCAATATTGATTTCAAGAACATTCATGGTTAAATTAAATTAGGTTTTATTCAATGAAAAAATATAAATTACGGAGATTTGTACCAATTTCACATCGATTACTTTTTGTCAAAAAGATTGGCATTTTTGTGCACAATGCACACATGCAGCACACAAATTATATGAATACTGCCAACGAATCAATGTGTAGCAAATTTGTTTATATCATCCCAACTTGTTTTTCAATTGAACTTCTGATATCGACTCCCAGAACTTATCGAAGTGTTTGCAATAGTGAAACTTACATCCGTCCCACACAAAAGACAGTGATATTGTTGTTGTAATCACGCATAAAAACGGTCGAAGTGCCTTCATTATATACGACGAAATTAAATTCTGCTTTTGCACACAATTGACCAAGGTCTGAAATTTATTCTCAGCGACTCAATTGTTCTGTTACGTATTCCATATGAAAGAGAATTTTTGCTATGCCAACTCAAAAAATTGATCGACACTTGTTCGAACTTCCTGTCCTTCTGCATTTGGACACAATTCACTACTTAAATGTGCAGCGCCATTTGTACAGGAATACATGCATTTTCAACGTGGTGCCATCATGGGAATTTTGTCTTTCGACTTTACCTGTTTTCAAGGGAAACCTATTCTATTGACGTCAACACTAAAATTTATCTGTACCGAACGACACGCGAATTTAATTCGACAACGTTTACCATTTCATGTCGAATAGTTAAATTTTCCAATTAGTTTACAACTTACGAAATGTATTCGATAGGGATTTTTGGCCACGTTTTTGCATAAGTGGACTTTTTACGATGTTTCACTGGATTTCCAAACCCGATGTTAAATGAAGGAAATATTCCGTAACTAAAAACGTAATTTTGATGTACATTTTAATACACATTCAGTACAATTGATCTAAGCGAGTTAAACCCCAACCACGAACACCTCTTCATAATAACGAATATGCATCCCCGATTTATGTTCAGAGCTCCGAGAGAATTTTGTGTTGAACTGCTGATTGAAAGATTTTTTTTTCATGATATTACTTTAATTTCCTTGCAACGAAATAAATCAAGATTTTTTTTAATTTCTTGCAATTTTGTTAATGAAATAAACTAGGGATTTATGTATGTATATGTATAGAAAATGTAATAATTTTAACAAAAATTTCTCTGAATAATGCAATTGAAAGTAATGCGGCTGTTGACGAATGCACTTCAATAAAAACTGAACACAAATTCGAAACCATTTGCATTTTTATACACAATGCCAGCTACGTCGATTTCCAAGAATACCGATAATACCAATAATGTGTGGCAGAAATGTTAAAACTGTCAGGCAAGTTCAAACTCATGAATATCAAAACAAATAAATTTTTTTTCTCTCGATTGACTTCAAATATCCCCTACATACAAATAAAGTCGAAGAAAACTTTTAAATCGAATGACAATTCAAAAATAATCGTTGTCAAATTCGCATAACCTACAACCTCATCCGTCCAACTGCATGTGATTCATTATTAATTGTTGGGAAATGTAGGTGGTTTGCAATCGGTTATTTGAACTTTTCTTTTTATATCAACAGCGCGATTCATCATCGTAGTACATGAATCAATAATTATTGATTATAATCTTACAACCGAACTCAGTATATTTCTTCAAGTGGAGAGTGGGCCCTCGGAAATTAGGACATTCAGAAATTAGAAGAAACAACAACAAATACATTAAAAAGAGCTTTCAATTTCAGAGGTACTGATGCATTGCTCGCGCGACAAACTACTTCTAATTTCCGAAGGCCACTAATGAGCGATAATCGATTGTTCTATGCATAGGATAGAATGATCGTGGGAAACGTATACAAATTATATTCAATTGAGAATAACCCCGTATTAGATGCATGGGGAATATGCTAGTGAGCAGAACTATGTATTTGTTAAACTCTATCCACCTTGAAACTTTGAATTAAGCCATTTTATGTAACGAACTGAAGCGAGTCGATAACTTCGAATGCAGACGATATTTTCTTTGTGCCGGCATTATGTGGAGAGTTAGGAAACAAACTTGACTGTTGCAAACACATGGATACTTTGGTAGATGATCTGCTGTTTTGTGGAATCAATTCAGAAAAATACACTTTGTCCATGAAGAAGAATTTGTCAAATACGAAACTTCCATAAGCGCGTGTTGGCGAGTGTTTTGTTCGAATTGAGCAAATAACTGACGATAACTCCCAGTTTGAAAATGATGAATTAAGAAAATCCATTTACAATACGAATGAAATGAATGATCCTGATTTAAATCTAATAATCGCATTAGAATTTGTTGATCAACGTTAAAGCATATGTGTCATATTCATTTCCAGTAATGCACCATTGATAGTTGCCATTCCGTATTCGTACGTAATATCAATATTTCAATGTTGCCAATTGACTTCCTTTCCACACGAATTTCATTTGAATTATTCGTTCTCACACACTGTAATAGCTTTACACTGTATGTGTCGCGTGTTGGCTTCACACATCTCCCATTTGCATATATTGTGTGTATGTGAAGTGACGCTGTTTCATTGGTATTTCCCAATTTGTTTGGCGCCCAAATTCAGCATTGTTTGTTGTGCTGCGTGCTCATTCGTAAATAATTTGCCAAATTAATTTCTAGATCGCATCATATCACAAATATTAGGTGTGTTAGAAGCGTTTCTATCGACAGCATGTTGTGGAGAAAGGAAACTGTTCAGAACGATGCGATGTACATCGACTTGCGTGAATCACCATCGAATGATCCGAATTCGACCCAGAAAATTTTTGATCACTATGAATTGAATTCTTGTATCGCTAATGCTAAACACGGCCCGTTTCGAAAAAATGCGGAAAAAGCAGAGGATGCTCGACAATTTGGAAACGAATGTTTCGGTGCAAACAGATGGCTGCAAGCAATGGAATGGTACAATAGATCGCTATGCCATGCCGAAGAAGCTTCCGAGCCGATGGGATTGGCCTATGCAAATCGGTCGGCATGTTTTTTCCACTTAAAAATGTACAGCAAATGTCTCATCGACATCGAGCTCGCCAAGCAAAACAGCTATCCACGCGATAAAATGGCCAAATTGGACGAGCGAAAAGCCAAGTGTTTGAGCGTGATGAAAACAGAGGAAAATCAAGGTGCTGCATTTGAACCAAAGTTGGATTTTAAGCCCAGTGAAAAATTCCCATGTTCAGCCAACGTGTTGAGAATCGAAAACAACGACAAATATGGTCGACACGTCGTCGCCAACGAGGACATCGATGTTGGCAAAATCGTAATGGTTGATCAAAATTACTTTGCCGACACTATCAAAAGGTATACACGATGCAACATTTGCTTTGCAACTAATGAAAACTTCAAACCATGCCAAAGATGTTCGTTCACGCTACTCTGTCCAAAATGCGAAGAGAATAGCTTTCATACTATTGAATGTGATATAAATCCCACCTATTTCGGAACTCTGGGAATAGTTGGAATACGAATGGTTGCTGTTCGCTCCATTTTGCTGGCTATGAACGCATTTGCTGACATTGATGAACTGATCGCAGCTGTCGAGGAAATGATTCAAAACGATGTAGTTGAAGCACCCGAATCACTGCTAGGCGATTCGCAATCAAACTATCGAGCATTCTTCAAGTTGCATCCAAACCCGGAGCACCACACCGATGACAATCTTCCGAACAAGATCAACTTTATTTATCGCTTACTGATGGGTCAACGGGATGTGACTGCATTTTTCCGCTCTGATGCACATACACGTTTTCTCAAACACTTGATCGCTCATCATTTAATCGTGATAAAATATTCGAGTCAACACTTTCGATACCCAACCGGTGTCGGCGCGCTTGGTGGTCAATCCGAAATAGACTACGAATATCGCATGAGCATCCTTGCATCGTATTTCAATTCATCGTGCGCCCCAAATGCATACATTTTCTCCCAAAGTGGTTACAACGTATGTGTCGTTGTGCGAACAATTCGGAAGAATGAACAGGTGTGTGTGGCATACGACACGAGTATTCTGTTGAAGGCAAAATCAAAACGCCAACAAATCCTACAGAACAAATTCAAGTTCTTGTGTAAGTGTCAAGTGGCAAATCACTTATTTATTCACCAAATTAATTACATTTTCATTACTCTTATGACAACCTAATGTCATAACTGTTAATTAATTTTAATTTTTTTTTCCTTCTGTGGCTTTTCCCCAGGCAAGTGTCAACGTTGTCAGTCATCGCACTTGGAATCATCAAGCTTGAAATCAAACGACGCAATCATTTCAGATCGATATTTCCATAATTTGCGTGCAGACATCAAATGTGCCACTGACAATTTTGATTCTCAATCATTCGAACCGCTACGTGCGCAATGCTTCAATATGTTGAAGAAATACGATAGAGTGCCATTGTGCTTGGAGATAAATTGCATCATGGACGATTTGAATACATTGGCAGTGAATGAAAAAACTGGACTATTGAAGGTATCCCTTATGTCACACTTGGCGAACTGAAAATTTTTGGAATAATATCAACTTCAATTATTTGCCCATTTTTTCACTCACAACACCAACAAATACTAAACGGTCGACGTTTCCAACTTTTTTTTTATCGATAGAAACTCTTTTTGAACGAATCAATCAATGACTTTAAACAATAATTCAAGATGAAGTTTTATACCGTCAATATTGTTATTCAAACCTCTTTCCAATTTAGCGTTCAGTATTTTGTCATATTCGAATATTAATAATGAAAATAAAGTAATCGAAATGACACAGCGTTTTTTTTCTCATTTTAATTGTTATATTGCTTATAATTTAACACAAATGTTTCACTCAAAGGAATTTTTTTACAAATAAACTAATTTTGGTTTGACCTGGTCTAATTGTCGCTACACGAAACAATGAATTGAATATAATATTTATCTCAACTAAATATAAGTGGATCATGTTCCTGTTTTTGACAAATAAATAGCGGTGCAGACACAAATCTATGTACAAGGTGAGGAAATAAAGGGCTAATTATCACAATTCAGTCAATAAGTGCTCATCTCTTGAGAAGAGGATCTTTTTTTTTCAGTGGGTATGACACCAAATCAGCCTGATTGAAAGTAAAATACACAGAAAACGAAAACTTCAGATTAAAAGAGGTTGTTAAAAATGTTTCACATTCTATTTGTTTGCTAGTTGTAGTCATTTGATGAGAGCTGTTTATTTGGATCATTTTCATCAATTCCATCATCTGTTTATGATGAATGCTTTGATCTCCATCGGGCAAACGTTTACTGAAGACGTTTTGATTTGCGATTTCTTCTGTAGTAGGGTTAATGAGGCGTTGAATATATCCACATTTGGATTGATACCCAATGTTCGATGGAGGTTAATCTATTGGAATGAGAAGAACGTAAGTTTAATGAATGTTTTATGTGATATGATCTTTTGCATAATGTTTCAAGAGTCCATCAAATTTCAATAGAAAACATACCGTTGCTGTGCTTGTGTCTTCGCCTTCGCATTGTTCCAAATGCACACGATTGATGACCAAGCCCATGGTAGATGCTTTGTTTGCATTTGTTGCAACATTTTTCAAATTCCTTAAAACGGCGATTTCAGTTCCAGTCTCAAGTGGCCAACGATCTTCACCAGACTGTGGCTGAACACCGATCCAATCATTCTCATGCCAAACCAATTTTTCCATTGGATGCAATAAACGATTCATCTCTGTGTGCATTGTCGTCGTTAAATAACCACCGCGATACTTATCCGAACGCTTCACACAGGGACTGACATTCTCGAGTCCCAATTTGAAAATGTTCAAAACTGGCACATTGTCTTGAACACCTTGGCCAAGACCACGATTGTCATCTTGATCCAAACGTCTGTCTTGCATGATTTCAATCTGAAAATGACAACCATTTTATATTTATTTGTTGCTATTGAAGTAGTTAGCATATTCAAACTTCGAATCCTTTTAATATCGGCAAAACATTCAAAAAGATCATCTTCTCAATCAGAACATACCTCTCCCGAAGCCAGCGATGATCCTCCAAGTGGTTGTGCCGTAAGCAAAGTCAATCTAGTCGATTCGTCTTCAATATATATTCCCGATGGGATCGGATAATAGTTGGCCTGAATCGGAATTTTTGTAAATCGCTTACGCTTGATAAACTCGAATCCATTCAAATCTGAGTAAAACACATCTTTACTTTCTATTCCCGTCGACATTCTCATGATGATTTCAGTATTCGATGAATCTCCAATATCAACCAGATTTCGAATCTCTAACGCTTTTTCGCCGCTTCGAAAAATGTTTTTGTGTATTATGAAAGGTAAGCCGGTGGCAACGCTAGATTCCAAATTGCCTGTCGTAACTAAAACCGTCGTTGCACCGGGTGCTTTTATTGGAACGGCAATTCCATCGGGTAGGAATAAGTAGGCACCACTTCTTTCAGCGCCACGAAGTGCTCCGTACTTCAAAAACTCCAAATGAATAGGGAAATTCTCATTGGCACTAGTTGACATTGATTTGAGGAGTCCTTTGGCATTGAATGCAGCCGACAGTCCTTCGTTGCCAACACGGAGAGTTATGTCGCGTGGTTCCGAGAATTCCGCTTGATTCGGGTATTCTGGCAGATTCACCGAGAAGGGAAACTGGGTGAAAATTTGAATCTTGGAGAATGTTGTGCCGCTGAAATGAAATGAAAATGGTTTACAATTTGGTTTTAATTTATAAGAAAATCAAAGCAATATAATGCCTAAGCTGTGCTGAGTGTAAGTTGAAATACTTACAGACTCTGCGAAGCGGAATTAGTAGAACGGATGATGTAGACAGAAAGGCCAAGTGAAGGAACTTTTGCTTTGAATAGCAATCGATATTTCGTCGTCGATACTTGCGGTGCCAGTGTGCCGTATGCTCCCTTATGCCAAGACCAAACAGGGATCACCTGAGATTCAATGGCATTTCCGTCTAAATCTTCAACCATCACAAATGGTTTCGACACGTGAAATTCCACGACTTCTTGTCTGTACCGAGGCAATGAGTTGTGGACGACAACATATTTGATGGGCAAACTTTCGCCCAAAATAATTGTTGGTCGGTTGTCATTAATGCCGGTTGTGCGTGAGTCATCGATATTGAAATAGGTGAACTCGTAATCAGGTTGGTAGATCTGTGGGAAAGCACATTTAAATGAATTATTTTCCGGATGATTGGAGCAAAGTAAAATGCCAACTTACGCTTGGCTTGGTTAAATGGCGATAGGCTGCTTGTTGAATAACAAATTTGCACGCTTTCAGTGCGTCCATCATTTGTCTTGCGTAATCCTTAACAACCTGTGTATGTAAATTAAATAAATACATTTTTTTAACAATAATAATTTATAACAATTTCCTATTTCCTAACATGATCTCGGCCTGTGCCAGTGATTCCATCGTGATGCTGAAACAGTGACAGAGCTCGTCGAGCACCTTGCAATAGTTCTTCCAAATGGCCACCGTCATTCCAATCACTCCAGGCATGCAACATCTCTGCCGATCTAATTGGCGTAAAAATCAAAGTTTGAAGTGATTGTTTAGTTCGAAGCGTTAATTATTAATTTTGAGAAATGGAGTTTATTTCAAAAAGCTCCTTGAATTACCTTAAGTAGTTCAACAAAATGCGATCGAGCCGCTTGTGATAAGGTCTTGAAGTAAAGTAGCCGCTCCAATAGTGATTATCTCGATCGGCGTACGTAAAGAAGTCACCGGTTAAAGATGGGAATTCATTTGGTCTTTTCTCGGCGCGAACGGCATCGAAATACTCCGACAACGTACCAAATTTAGCCTCAACATACAACGATGGTTCGTTATTGATATGCTCGAAAAGCTTCTCGTAGTTCTTCCTCTGAGCTTCCCATTCAGTGTTCTGGTTGTATCGGAAATCATCTCCCAATGGGAACAGAACTGTTCTGGTTTTGTAGAGCGTTGCCTTTTTCTTCCATTGGTCCACAATCAGATCGGCTCGTTTCTGAACATTCGAGTCATCGATTGGTCGAGGAGGAATTCGCCAAGGGCATGTCAAACCGTAGCCAGGCAAACGTTTAAAATCGAACTGACAACAAACTTTTGGATCAGGACCACAAGAGTGCGGTATATCATACGAATAAAATGGCATCATATGGGCAAATAGATCAGTTTCACCGGATGAATCTTTATTTAAAAAAAATGGAGATTGATAAGAAATTTAATTGTGTTTATTCTTATATGCATTTATCTGAGTCAATTTTGCGAAAAAACATTTAATCTGACACAACCAAATTGTTTGCTGTCAAACGTTGTCTCGCTTTCACCAACTCTCACACTGACTCGTTCGTGAACGAATCGCTGTTAGCGTAAAAGATGTTTTTCGCAGTAAACTTAGTTTAGATGTTCTTTCCAAGTGCAAAAATAAAATGTATAATTTACAGATACAGTTTCGGATCTTCTGAACGGAAAAATGCTGCTCTAGTTTTAAATTACGGATCCTCAGAAATTTCAAATGAAACAAAATGTATGCCCAAAGAACGCATACAAAATACTCTTTGATAGAAAATATTACAATAAATTAGGTTAAATTGAATTTCATTACACATCATATCGAAATATTCGCCTCGCTTCAGTCGCCACGTACAAACACTAAAATTGTTGGTCAAGATATGGCAAATATTAAATTCGTTATCGCAAAAACTGTTCATTTTTTCGAATTTTTTGTAAACACCTGCATTCTGAAGTTCGTCGAAAATCGAAGTTGGATGATTGAATATCCTAAAACACCGATCGTGAAGAAATCATGGCACTAGCATGCACTAATGTGCTGAGTAGGCATTCATATTGAAAAAATAATTCCCAAGATCGGCAATAAAATTGTGGATGAATGATAAAAATCAATGGGAAATATCAAACATTTCTTTTTTTTCCGTACAACAAATTGAATCTTCCAAATACAAAAAAAACGAATCTATAATTCAGAGTTCCGTTTTGTTTTTTAAATTGCAATCGGAATTTCGGATCTTCTGAACACAATTTATGGCGTTTTCGGATCTTCTGAAAATTTCTTATTTCAGTCTCTGACATATTCAACATGCAAACCATTCTAGGCGATGTGAGATAGCACATGCCATTGTATTATACGAAATTTACAGAGCATTCAAGTGGAAATAATGAAAAAATGTACGTATGAAAGGTGTAGCACAAGTGTTCCAAAAATTGTGCGCTTTTGTTTGGCTTCTGAATAAAGAATATTTGCATATTTCTTTGTCTGCCTTCCCGTGTGCAAATATTCTGATCGGCTAGACAACCAGTTAATTTTAAATAAATATGGTTGATTGAATTCAATAAGTTCGCCGTGGTCTGATTGAATATGATGCAAAGTGGTCGAATTAATTTGGAACGATATGGATACATACGATTAAAAGTAATAAACAATTGGTTACGGGCGATGGAGCTCATACTTAACGGTTCACTAGATTCTCACTAGGGTGTGTAAAAAAGGCTTGTCATCAATACCAGGTGTCATTACCACTTGTTCGAAATTAGCTTTGAAATCTGCATTGTCATCATTGTGGCTATTCTCGTTTTCTCTTCATATCGCGCTTCATTCAAGTTTTTTCACATTGAACTTGTCGCTTCGAACACAAGCCATAATATATGGGCAAAACAAATATTGAAACAGTTGACGTGGAATTACCGTAAAGAATTAATCGTAATCAATAGTTAACTCAAACCCATTGATATATCAAAAACGATTGATGAACACAACAATTAGAAGAAAAAAACGATACACCTCATACAGTTAGACGGAAAGCTAAAAGAGAGCACATGCCAACGTTCATCAACAACGGATATTTACAACGTTGCGTGTTTCCCAGAAAAAATAATCAATTGTTTTCTGATGAAATGATAATATAAGATAAGGAATTAACCCTCTAATGCATACAACCGCCCCTAGACGGGCACCATTTGAACGCCTGTAGAACGTAAACCGTACATCGGATCACATTGTTTCGAAAAGAATTTTTATTTGTCAATGTTCTCTCTTTATTTTTGTCTATGGCAATATTTGTCTATGTAGTGTGATTGTAAAGTTATAAACAAAAATGTGTGCAAAAACATAAATTTGACAAAATAAATTATTCGAACTCCAAATTAGACAAATTTTTGACACTTTTAAACAATGTATTTGATTGTTCTCTGATTTATGTCAATCGCATTTTCTGACTTAACATGAGGAATCCAGGATTATGAATATTTTTTTAATTATCTATGGCCAAAAATCAACCAAGTACTAGTACTCCCAGCCCTGGGAAAAATTAATGCATTAAAGGGTTAAAATATATACGTCCGATAACCTGTATGGTTATCAAAATTTCACAACGCTCAAAAGCAAATCGAAATGCACTGAATTTTTCCACAAAAAATTGGAAATAATTTCGCAAAAGATAAAATGAAACATTTAACTTACCCCACAGTTGACGCCATCGAAATTCGAGTTGCTTGTGTTGGGCCAAATATTTTTTCACTTCGTAATGTGTTCGCTGGATGAGCATATTTTCGAAGTCGGACCCCTTCAGAATGAGTGGCATGACGGCACTTTGTCCGAATGGATCAATTGACCACGACGATTTTGGAGTGAAATTTAAATTGGTTTTCAACCAACTTTGACCTTCTGTCAATTGTTGCAAAATGCTCAACCAATGTGAATTGGCTTCGTCAGGCATAACCCAACCGCCGGTAACAAATTCCAATTGACGTCTCTTTAATAATCTGTTGATGCAAAGAACCATGAACATTTTTTTATGGAAGACTCTTTTATTAATGTTGGTTTTACTACGTACGTTTTCACATCTTTCTTTTCATCCGATGACAAGTCCTCGTACCACTTTGAAAAGTATGAAATTTCCGCCCAAATGAAGGTCATATCGGGATTTTCCATAAGCTGATGAAGCATATTCGTTAAAATTGATTTAGTCAGTTGATCATAGTATTCCTCGAATGTCTTCAACCACCCCGGATCGTTGTGCGAATGCGGAATGACGAAAACTTTCAATTTATGATGGCTATTCCATTCGTGTGTATCATAATTGAGTCTCCAGCCCTGTTTCCATGGTCCACCGTCGACATTCTCAAACGGAATGGTTTCGTATACATCTAACATTTGAATATCCGGCTTTGGATCAATATCGGTACGAAAGCTACACTGTGCATTTTGATTATCGCTATGAAATGGTGCTTCGATAGCCATTTTCTCCGGCACTCTGCCTTCGATTTCATTTCTATGTTTTGGTCTATTCACCGGCACACCACCTATTTCTACGCGCTGATTGTCCACTTCCACTGGGCGTACTGTTTGTTTCACTACATTTTGGTGGTCTTTTGACGATTCCTATTCAAATTCCAAACACAATTTCTTATGATATATTTTGTAAAAAAGAAAACAGAGTTAAATATTCATTTCAATTGACTTACGGTCTTAACACTAGAAATTGAATGGTTCAGTAGAAAATAGATGAAAATAAATACAGAAAAGCAAAATGCACACAAAATCAATGCGAATTTGCGGCGCATACGCAACATTTTTCTCATATTTATATCGCTGTTGTCGTTGTCAAAAAAAAAATGATTTAATTGAAAAACCACCCAAAACACACAGACTTCACTTGTATATATCTTGTGGAGATTACATTTGATGCGATTTTTATTTTTATTTTGCAAAAAGAAGATGCAGATAACAAATGAACAAAAAAAAAGTGTCGTTCAGACTGATTGACGTGAAGTGTTTCAATATACTGCGGCTGTTCAAATCGCAGCAGCAGTAGCAAACCAACAACAGTAATTTGATAGCTGTTGTGCGCTTGGTTGAACTGTCAAAACGAACGACCAACAGAAATGTCATGAAGTTGCCCCATGCAATTCCACTAAGCATGATAGACATGGGCATCGACGTGTGTGTATGTATATGTGTGCTAGAGAGTCAGTGTAAATAAATCGGTACGAAGATGTGTATAACATCGCGTATGTGTGTGTGTTCTGACAGTGGTGCTATGCCTATTTGACGGTCATTCGAGTGTGCATGTGTACAATACAAATTTACAAAGAAGAAGTAGCAGAAGCAGCAGCAGCAGCCTTTGGACTATTTATTATTGTTATTGATGTTCGCCATTTTTAAGTGAAAATACAGTTTTTGGTGCATTGATTTGACAAAAGTGTAAGACGGAACACGCTAAAAAAAGTTTCCCCCGACCATAAAGTGCAAAAATCGACGGGCATTGTGTGCAAGAATTCGCTACCAAGATTATGAGCCACGACCGTGATGCTATGGGGTAATTTATACCATATTTTATTGCTGGCATCTAAACAATTTTCTGTGATAAATTTTTCGCACAAAATCAAAACCGTTCGGCTGAAATGTGTGTGATGTGAAAAGGACAATTTTTTTTTCTCCGTCTCTGCATACCGATTGGCTCCACCCGAAATGTGTCTGTTTTGATTCGAACGATTTGCAAATTTATTGTTGACACATTTGGCATTGTTTTTTCGTTTTGAAATTTTTGTGAATTTTAAATGAAATACGGAATGGAGTTTTATGGAGAGAAAACGAGTACTATTTACGAAAGGCGTAGGCTTAATTAGACCATGATATTTCCAGTCCAGTTGTACGCAATGCAACCGAAGATGCGAAAACAAACAAACAACAACGAAAAAAAAAAATGCGAATAAAAAAATAATACAAAACAAAAACAATTTCGAAAGATTCAGTTCATTGCGGAATTTTCGCAGAGAAAACAATATAAAAAAAAAACGTGTGGTGCAACGTTAAAAGATGGTTTTATCGATTGTGAATAAAAGGTCAAATAGCTTAGAGTGCATCATTGAACAATCATTGTTCTTGAGATAGATATTGAGATAGAATAGAGTGGGATAGAGTGAAAGATATACATAGCAATTAAATTCTTCGGATGAGTTGTTGTTGTTTTTCAGTCTCTCTTCACTTTGCGATTAAAGTGCATTTTGATGTAATGCAAATCAAGTGAAAATGAATAGGCATCGGCATCGGGAGCAAATTGAAAATTGCATTGCGAGCCGATTCGTAGCGAGAAAGTGGAACAGCTTTGTTCATGTTTGGCCATGAAAAGTCATGAACAAGTGAAATTAAAGTGTCATTATATCACTAGCACTTGAGGCTGGCGTTGCATTGAGCGCGCACAACAACAACAACAAAATGCATTTGCAACGCCGTTTTGATTTTTGTGCGGATTCCAATTTTTATATTTGTGTCAATTGGAATGTGCATTCATTTTATGGAATATTTGTGTTTCGATTAGTTTTTAACATACATTTTCCGGTTATTTTCCCTTCATCTTCTCTTGGATAATTAGTGAACAGCCAATTTTCACATGTCACGCTCATGTTTTTCACATCGATCCGAAGACGAAACGAACATGGATCACAGCAAGTACAAAGGCCGTAGCGGTGAGCTTTTTCTACGATTCGTCACGGAATTTGTACCGTATCATCAGCGTGGAGGGCTCCAAAGCGGTCATAAATTCCACAATAACGCCAAATATGTCATTTACTCAGACGTCACAGAAATTTGGTCAATGGAGTGATGTACGTGCCAATACAGTATATGGTTTGGGCTTCTCATCCGAGGCCGAACTCACGAAATTCGTGGAGAAATTTCAAGAGGTTAAAGAGGCTACAAAGAATGCCATCCAAAAAGGTGGCACAACAAATGGTAGTTCGGCTGCAACACCTGTTACTTCGGCCAACACCTCACCAGTCTCCGGTCGAACAGGTGGTTTGCAACAGCAGCAGCAACAACAGCAACAACAGCAACAACAACAGCAGCAGCAGCAACAACAACAGCAAGCACACCAGACTGACGAAGGGAATAGTGTAGAACATATTGCGGTAGCAACAGCCAATATTCAGATTAAGGTAAACAAACGCCAGAAATTGTCTTCAAAGTCGATTCAATAACGCTGACTTTTCGGTTTGTTATTTCATTTTGCAGAATACTAATCCAGATAGTCCAATGCACACCAAAATTACGACAAATGCTCCGAACATCGAAATGTTGAAACAGAATTCATCGTCGCTGAACAATTCATCGACGGAATCAGCTCCACACAGTGAACAACAGCTGAAATACGAAAACGAACGGCTTAAATTAGCGCTCGCTCAAAGGTATATAAATCATATTGTTTATTACATAGATAAGGAATGATTTAATCCATTGTTTTGCAGTTGTGCCAATGCAAAGAAATGGGAAATTGAATTGACCACGCTGAAAAGCAACAATAATCGATTAACAAGCGCTTTACAAGAGTCGACCGCCAATGTTGACGAATGGAAGCGACAGTTGCACACGTACAAAGAGGAAAATTTGCGCCTAAAACGTGAAATGGATGCTATGAAACCGTCGTCGGCGGGCGGCGGCAGTGGTGGCAATGCCAACGAAATCAACGAAGACATGCGAATCGAAAATATTAAGCTCAAAAGTCGAATCATCACATTGGAAAAGGAAATCCAAGAGCTTCAGTTAAAGGCATCTAAATCAAATGTGAAAGATAAAAGCAATGAACAAAGTGTAAGTAATCAGCTCATATATTCAATGCCATTTGACAAGGTCATTTCTTATCATTAGCGTCGATTTGTTTGCATTTGCATTTTGCAAAAACAAGAACTCATGATTAATATTCGGATTTCGTTTCGTATTTTACAGTTTAAGCGGCTAATAGATATAAATGATAAATTTTCCAAGACCCTGGTCGATATGTGCAATGTGCAACAAGAAATGGAAAAAATCATTCAAGATCACAAAAGCACTTGAGAATTGGATCTGCTTTGCCATAACGAAGTGAGTACATTCTATCACCACTTGGATTGGCATAACTCAATTCGGTTCTAAAATGGGAAATTCCGAAACAAAAACAATCTAAATCAAACCATTGGAAACTCAAAAACAAAACAAACAAAAAATGAACAAAAATCTGAACAAACAAACAATAGCAAACAGTAAGTCATTTTCCTATACGAGGGTGAACAGAGACCACAACCGCAAAAATTTAATTATGGACATGGCAACAGAGCAGCAGTACACTTGAAACCAAGAGGCATACAGCAACAGCAGGAATTTGATGATGATTCAATCATATTGCAACACAATTTTCCCAATAGCAACAACAACTTTGACGGTACTAACAACAGCAGCAGCAATAGCAACAGCACAAATATCTATAGTACTAACAATAGCCGAAGATTGATGATAAGTGCAGCTTGTGATGGCGAAAGTGCTTCAACTTCAAAAACAGCCACAATTTTGGTATCGAAATCGAAATCCAAAATCGGTCTTCCGCTTGTAATGAAATAATTCCATTTTACGTTCTTTCTTCTTTACGTTCTGTCTCTGTTTTTATTTTGTCTATTATTATGATGTTTTTAGTTTTATCAAAGTGACGAAAAAAAGAAGAAAAAAAAAATTTGATATTCAATGAAATATTGTGTAAAGTTTGTACTGACAACCGAAATTTGTAAACGAATTTTAGAGCTGGCTTTATCATTTCTGAAGCAATAGACGCTACAAAATGCATTTGACGAACTATTCAATTGTTTTTGGATGCAAACCAAAATTTGAACACCGATGGCGATAAATTAAAAGCGCCCGGTAAATTTTTAACACAATATTTAAAAAAAATTACCAACAAACGCAAGCTACTGCTGTTTAGTTGATGTTTAAAGAAAATGGCAAATAAATTTAAAAAAAAAACAAACAAATATTAAGTGAACTCTATTCTAGATGATAGAAATTGTTAAAACAATACTCAATTTACCACTAATTAATCCAACAACAACATGCAGAGAGAAAGAAATGCTCATACACAACAACATTAGAGACTACACACATTTGTTCAACAATCAAAAAAGCAAGTTATGAATTTAAAAGAACACATCTACACACACAGAGAGAGAGAGAGACACTTTGTAATTTTTAGTGATTGTGAATGCAACCAGGACAACAGTTGGAATGGATTGTTAGCAGCATAAAATGTTTTATTGATGCTCGAATTTTCATAAATTCTAGTACATTGAACCCCACGATATAAGACAACAACAACAAACCCTTTTTGTATTATGATATAGAAATGACGCAATGATTGATATTTGCAATGGCAAAGAAAAACAAGAAAATACATCATTTAGAAAGATGACGATATTAAGAGATATATGCATTTTGCAATTTGTAACCACGTACAGCTAATGTCATTCTGTGTAACGAATTAAAAACAAATGAGATTCACCTAATTGCAAACAAAAAAAAAATTGAAAATGAAGGAGATGGAGGAGAAAAACAAGCAAATAGAAAGAAATAATTTAAATATGTATTGAACAAACTATATTATCTATTATTATATGATAAATTATTGAATTAAAATATTATGTATGACGACAGACAACAGCAACAACAAAAAAAAACAATAAAGAAAAAGAAAACACAATAAAAATGGTTCAAATAAATATTGTTCTATGTATCAAAAAACGGTTGTTTTATTGGGATTTAGTGAATGTCTATTCGTTTTTCTCTCATTCAATAGACATTATCTTCGATTTCATTCATTTTCCCTTCTATTTTAAAAGTTGCCACATTTCTTACATTCTCTTTTTGATTTGCATTCAAAAATGCATTTCTTCCGTTTTAATGTCAATTTTTTTCATCATATTATTCGATCTTACATCACGATATAAGATATCTTTACTGATATAGGATATCTGTCTTATCCAAAGAATTGAATGTCGTTATAAAATTCAACCCAGAATACCGGTTGAATGACCTAAATGTTCTTCATTAAAAAGTCTGAACATGTTAAAAATGTCTATCATTTGGACATTCTCACATGAAAATTTAAAAGAAGAGACCAATATGCACTGTTTTGCCGGTGTAGATGTCAGGGAAAAAAACTACAATCAAATCAAAGTACTTTTTTTTTAATCGGCAATATACTTATAATTGTTTGGCACTACATGAATAGGCTCGTGAGAAATGTGTACGTGAATGATGCAATACGTTTGACGTTTTACGTTCACTTGAAAATCAGTGATTGTTGGACAAACACAACTTTTTCGACATGGGTGACAACGTGGTTGAACAAATGGAGAATTTAAATGTAAAAGACAACAAAAAGGTGGGTAAAAATCGTCTAAATGAAGCTATGATTCAAATAAATTGGTTGTGCATTGGTTTAATAAAGAAAATTACGAGAAATGCTGTGAAATGTTAGTTTGATGAAAAGCGAGGTTATGGTTCAGTTTTGATGGTGAATGTTGTCAGTGAATTATGATGAAACAAAGAGTTGCAATTCGAAATAATAACTTCATGTTTCGCATCAATTCAAATAAATTTGAAGAGAAACTTTGTAATTTCATGCAATTTTCATGTGTCATTTGATTGTTTGCAGGCAAACAAGCCAAAAAAGGAGAAGAACACTGGTGGTTCAGCTCCTCCACGAGAGGCAAAACCAGAGCCAGAATTCATCAAATCACGTTTGGTTCTGTGGGACAAACTGAAGAAGAAGTACGATGAAGAGTTGGAGTTGAAAGCACGCGTTCCAATCAATGTCACACTGCCAGATGGGAAAATTGTTGAGGGAACGTCTTGGCAAAGCACCCCATACGATATTGCCAAAACGATTAGCTCTGGTTTAGCCGAATCAACTGTCATTGCTAAAGTGAATAATGTTCTATGGGATTTGGATCGACCACTCGAAGGTGATTGCACATTGCAATTGCTTAAGTTCGATAATCCCGAAGCACAAGCAGTATTTTGGCACAGTTCGGCGCACGTTTTAGGCGAAGCCATGGAACATATTTACTGCGGACATTTGTGCTATGGTCCACCAATCGAAAGTGGATTCTACTACGATATGCACCATGAAGGAGAAGGTGTAAGTGTTCTGGAGTCAATTTTAAAAATTCGATGAAAATAATGAATCGTATTTTTTTTGCATAGATATCCCAGACCGATTTTCCTGTAATGGAAAGCAAAATCAAGCAAATTGTTAAGGAAAAACAACCATTCGAGCGATTGGAAATGACAAAGGATGAACTGCGTGAAATGTTCGCTTACAATCAATTCAAGTTGCGAATCATCAACGAGAAAATCGATACAGACAAGACCACTGTATATCGATGCGGTCCATTGATTGATTTGTGCCGTGGCCCCCATGTTCGTCACACCGGAAAAGTTAAGGCTGTTAAGGTTACCAAGGTGAATTTTGGCTTGTTATTTGACTAATAAATTCAATTACAAGGAGAATTCCGTAGTTGAACACGAGCAAGAGACCGTTCATTAAAATATCAAATTTCCACTTATTTACACTTCAGAGCTCGGCTACCTACTGGGAAGGTAAATCCGATGCCGAAAGCTTGCAACGTGTGTATGGAATCTCATTTCCTGATCCAAAACAATTGAAAGAATGGGAAAAGATCCAAGAAGAAGCTGCCAAGCGTGATCATCGTAAACTTGGACGAGAACAAGAGCTGTTCTTCTTCCACGAATTATCGCCGGGTTCATGCTTTTTTTTGCCGCGCGGTGCACACATCTACAACACGTTGGTCAATTTCATCAAAACTGAATACCGTAAACGTGGTTTCAAAGAGGTCGTTTCGCCAAATATCTACAACTCCAAATTGTGGCAAACGTCGGGTCATTGGCAACATTATGCCGAAAATATGTTCTCATTCGATGTGGAAAAGGAAACGTTTGCATTGAAACCAATGAATTGTCCGGGTCATTGTCTCATTTTCGACAATCGTTCTCGTTCATGGCGTGAACTGCCACTCCGTTTGGCCGATTTTGGTGTGCTCCATCGTAACGAATTGTCTGGAGCACTCACCGGTTTGACTCGAGTACGTAAATTTTTATTTGTTTTACTTTTAAATATAGACAAATTGTCACTATTGACGACTCATTGTTGGGGAAACCGAACTAATTGCACATTTCAATTGTTGTAGGTGCGTCGTTTCCAACAAGATGACGCTCACATCTTCTGCACAAATGAGCAGATCAAAGAAGAAATCGACGCCTGTTTAGATTTCTTATCGTTTGTTTACTCGAAATTCGGTTTCACCTTCGCTCTCGAACTATCAACACGGCCGGAGAAATATCTTGGTGATTTAGAAGTTTGGAATGCAGCCGAAAAGGCTCTGGAAGAATCGTTGAATAAGTTCGGTCAGCCATGGAATTTGAATCCGGGAGATGGTGCTTTCTATGGCCCAAAAATCGATATTACCGTAAAAGATGCATTGAAACGTTCGTTTCAGTGTGCAACAATCCAATTGGATTTCCAATTGCCGCTTCGATTCAACTTGAGCTACGTTGACGACAACGGTGAAAAGCGTCATCCGGTCATTGTTCATCGTGCTATTTTGGGTTCGGTGGAACGATTCATTGCAATCATCACAGAAAACTTTGCCGGTCGTTTCCCATTCTGGGTATGACATCTTTGGAAATTCATTAATGACATTTATCTCATGAATTCACGTAATTTGTTTATTTTTAGATTTCGCCAACACAAATTATGGTTGTGCCAGTTGGTCCATCGTTGAACGATTACGCTAAATCCGTTGCCCAGCAACTGTATGAAATTGGTTACATGGCCGAAGCGGATACGGATGATGGTGATACAATGAACAAGAAGATTCGTAATGCTCAGCTGGGACACTACAATTTCATTTTGGTGGTGGGTGAAAAGGAAAAGACTGCCAACACAGTCAACGTTCGTACACGTGATAATAAAGTGCATGGTGAATTCTCAATTGCTGATCTAATCGTGAAATTGCAACGATTCCGTGACGAATTCATAATTGGTGAAGAGAATTTCTAAGCGAACCAACATCGCTTCTTTCAATTTTTTGCACCATCGCCAATTTTTTATCGCATTTTCACTCTCCGGCTACAGTTTTATTAATCAAGTTAATTTATACAACAACAGCATTTAATGTAATTCAATCACATATAATTGAAAAGTAAAAAAAAACAACAAATGTAAGCAATGTTTTGCAATTCCAACAGAAAAATAATGTACACAGTCCAGTGCATAAATCAATAAACGATGTTTTGATTTACAATAAAAACAAAATTCGATGAGTAAGACAGACAGTAAAGTACTGTGTAAATGTTGTTATATATTCATTGAAATTATGGGAACAAAAGTGATTAGCGGTACATTCTTTGAAAAAAATCAAACATCCGGCCGATTATGCTTAAGCCGCATTTCCTGTGTTAAGGGACACACAGAACAAAAAACGAGCTCAGAGCACGAAATGCGGTGTGAGGCACATGCAAGTTGCACAAACAACCAACGTTGATTTAGTATAAGGCGGTCTGCGGGTGCGTTCACATCAACCTTTCAAATCATAAAGTCGATTTTTGTAGTGACAAACACAAATTCTTGTGGCTATTTTCATTCATCAAATAAATAATTTAAAAATAAATTTTGTCTATTTGACCGGTGTTAGTTCATTTATCGATTTTTTGTCAATATTTCTTCGACGATAAAAATACACTGCATCGGAACGCCGTCGTTCAATTGCAGGTGAGTGAATCACAACCACTACATTGACACGCATCCAGACAAGACGAACTACGTGCTTTTCTCACATACACCAGATGTCTTTTTTTTTGTTGATCGCTGCGTGTGGTTGAGCAGCACATAGCATTTCTATTGCACACCAACACAAACGATTTCCATAAATCTAACGATTGGGCTCGTATAGCTCTCACACACAGCAGCGTACAAAACAAAAATATTTCTATTTGAACTAAAGTGCCTTCACATCGCATATACACAAAAAAAAATTATTTGTATTTTTCCCAAACAATATTACAATTTTTTTTTAAACAGTTTTTTCTTACAACTTTCTACACGAAAATCTGCAGATGATTTTCAGTTTATTTTCCAAATCCAACAAAAGTACTCAGCGCTAAATAAAAAATAAAAACTATTTGGTGTTCCAAAAATCGAAGGAGAATTTTTTTTCTCGAAAATAGTAGTGATTTTGTACGAACGGAAATGGTAGAAGTTGGAGTGCTGTAAACGCGTATATCTATTTTACCAGTTAGATAATTTATTTGGAGGGAATTACAAACTAAAAACCTATATCCGAATCAACGCATAGAGAAAAGTTGAAATTACATTTCACAATTTAAGGTAAATGGCTCCAAGTTAAAAATCGGATATAAATCAATTGAAATTGCATGTAGTCCGTTCACCTTGGGTTTTGGTGTGTGTTTATGTTTTTTTTTGGGTTTTTCTTATATCGAAATATTACACATTTCCAATGCATTTTTTCGATGAGATATGTTTACTATTAACACCGAGTTTATGTGTTTCAGTGCGATTTTTTCTCTCTTGTTAGTTTGCTGATGGGTTTCATAACATCATTCATAATCCGTTCTATTTTTTGTGTATTCATGTGAGTTTCTTTTACGATCGAGACCATTTGGTGTGTAATAGTTTCATTCCATTGTGTATGCACAAGAAACATTTGGTGCGGGAACAAAAAAAAAGGTGAAGAAGAAGAAGAAGAAGAAGAAGAAGAAGAAGAAGAAGAAGAAGAAGAGCAAAGAAAAAAAGAAAATGGTGAACACAAATAAATGAGAGTGTATATATGGTAAAAGTACCAAAAGAGTCTCAGGCGGTGGCGGCATCAACAAAAGTAAACTCTGTCATTTGGTGTTGTGGTGGTGTGTTCGTTTGTATTCGTCTTCGTGTACATGTGCTTTGCGTATCTATGTATATGTCTCATTGTGTCGTGCTATGGTTTTTTTCAATATTATTTGCGTTGTTGTATATCGGTATGAAGCGATGTTTGTGTCAAACTCACAATAAAATTGCATATGGCGACTGCTACAGATGTGATTTAAGTTCGGCTCCGTAGTTTTTTTTCGTTTCTAACCCGTCTGTCGTTTTGTATATGTAACAGAAGCGATTTTTTTTTTCATTTGTTGGACACGATATCAACGTCGTTGAATTTGCAAAACCAAAAGAAATCGTGCATAAAAAAATGGCCACGAGAAGTGAAGATGTGCTGCTACAAATGGGAGCCGTGCGATACAAAAAAGGTGATGGGACATTGTATGTGATGAATGAGCGTATTGCATGGATGGCCGAAAATCGTGATAAAGTCACCGTTTCGCATCACTTTCAAGACATTAAAATGCAGAAAATCTCACCAGAAGGGAAACCAAAGGTTCAACTGCAACTTGTGATGAACGATGGCAACAACACCACATTTCATTTTGTCAATGCAAACGGTGCACGGGCACAAATCGAAGACCGGGACAAGGTTAAAGACTTACTACAGCGATTGTTGCCGAATTTCAAGCGTAAAGTGGACAAAGAGCTCGAAGAAAAGAATCGCGTGCTCACCGAAAATCCACATTTACTGCAAATGTACAAGGATTTGGTCATCACACAGGTGCTGTCTAGCGATGAATTCTGGTCCACTCATGCCAAACAGTATACACAACAGCACAATGAGAAACAAGATATCGGCGTGTCGGCGGCTTTTTTGGCCGACATCAAACCACAAACGGACGGCTGCAATGGGCTTAAGTACAATTTGACGGCCGATGTCATTGAATGCATTTTCAAAACATATCCGGCTGTGAAGAAGAAGCACATTGAATATGTACCGGCTAAAATGAGCGAATCGGAATTTTGGACCAAATTTTTCCAATCACATTATTTTCATCGTGATCGTATAATGGGCGGTACCAAAGATATTTTCACCGAATGCGGCAAAATCGATGACAAGGCTTTGCAGGAGGCTGTTACGAAAAGTGCCGGCGATGTTTTGCTCGATTTGAGACAATTCAAAGACAATTCATTGGAAGAGGGTTTCGGCGGAGCAGTTAGTGATAAAAACGGTGTCAACAGTGGCAACATTGTGCATCAAAACATGGTCAAACGGTTCAATCAACACTCAACGATGGTTCTGAACACTTGCCAAAAGACAAACGAACAAAATACGAATGGTAACAGTCAGCCCAGTGAATCGCAAAGTCAAGACATGGTCGACGCATCGGCCGATATTGAACCACAAAAGAAGCGAGCTCGAATCATGGAGAAAATTCGATTGGACGATTTGGCAATGGACGGATCAGCAGAGGTAGTTAATGGAACTGCAAGCAACGCAGCTTCAGCGTCTGAATTGAGCTTATTAAAAATTGAACGGTATTTACACGGCCCGGTTCCGGATGCCTTCACTACAGACGGCAATGAAAATCTCAACAATATGGAAGTGACTCAAGCACAAATCCACAAATCAACCGAGGTATGGGGCAGCCGAACACCACAAAAACTGTTGATAAATCCAAAGGCAGCAGTTAATGCCCTCGGTGAATTGACTCCAGGTGGTGCATTGATGCGCGGTTTTCAGGAACAATCGCTATCTCAATTGGTACCACCCAGTATTGAAAAGGAACTTCGCAATTTGTACTTGGCATTGAGCGAGCTATTGCGTCATTTTTGGCGCTCTTTCCCACCGACAACACCCGACTTAGAAGCCAAAGTCGGTCGAATGCATGAAGCACTTCAGCGATTCGCCATGGTCAAATTAGTACCATTCGAAGAGAGTGTGATGCGTGAAGCGTCGCCCATCGGTTTATCAATTACACAACACTTGAATCAATTGCTTCGGACCGCATCACAGAAGTTCAATACGTGGCAGGAACGCAAAAATCGACTTAATAAATAGAAGAAAAACAAAACAAATGATTATGTAGCATCGTCATATCACTCATAAAACCAAATGAATTAATTTGTTATTTAGATAGTCCTTTCAAATATGAAGAATTAAAATAAAATGACCGCTTTGAAATACATGTTTTGTCAACAGTTAGAAACGGAAGACAAATTCTCAAATAAAAATCAATCGTTTAATTTTCAAAAGAAAATAAAATCATTGCGTTAGTATTCTTATTTGGTGTTTTTCTGAGTTAAGATGTAGTTGAAGGGAATTTGTCTCTATTGATGACTAATGGGAAGATTTTTTTTCTTTGTTTTCTTCTTCTTTTGGTTGTGGTTTAACAGGTATTTTTGAAACTTGTTTTGATGCATCAGCTGTAGTAGTGTATCGGCTAAGATGACTGTAACTATGAATACAGCAACTAAAGAGCCAATGCAAAATCAATTTGGCGCAATGAATCCGGTGTACGGATCGCCAAACACAATACCAACCATTTGCATGAGCTTATATCCAACGAATGTCAATTATCCAACAAAGAAACCGATTGAATCGGCCAAAGCGACAACATCACAGCTAAGGAAACTCATTCCAATTATCAGTGGATTACTTACATTTGCCACGGTTCTAAGTATTCTCATCATTTTCATGGATACATCAGGTAAATTTCACTCACAGAATTCTCTTTTTGAGATTTTATATTGTTTCCAACTGATTGATTTTTCGGTCGTTTTATGTTTCAATTAGAAATTCGCCTGCAGAAATTCCGCCTGAACATGACACGTGATGAAGAGTTGAACATTCAACGCGATAACCCCGAGCTAGTTGCATACATTCGTTGGCAATTATCACAGCGCAAGACGGCTCCATTGCCTGTGCCTAGCTACAGCAAACGTAACGGGCTGGTACCCGAATTAGCAATGGAAATTGCCAAGCATGTTGACATGAAGGATAACGGGTATTTTGTACAGTCGCTAACCAATTATAATGGCGAATTTTTGACCGGACCATGGTTGGCTGAACATTTAAACTGGGGCGGATTGATCGTTGAGCCAGATGCTCGAAAATACTTTTCACTGTGCAAAGAAACTCTGATGCAACCCAAAGTTCAGGTCATACAAGCTTGTGTCTCACCGAACAATCATCCACGAGAGGTAAATTCAATTGAATGAAATATTAGTTTTGAATGACATGCCATAAACAATGAAAATAGGTTTCTTTTGAACTGAACAGCATTTTTGAGAACGGAACATTTTTCGTAATTGAAAATCTTATGCTAATTGAAATTCTGCCAACCGTTACACAGATTCTTCTGCGTGAGGAAGATAACGATAGCAGTGAGGTGCAAATTAGTAGCTTAGTAAGCGGTAATCAATCGTGGTTCCCACGAGCCAAATGCTACCCCTTATACTCGCTAATGCTGGCCGTGAATCAAACACAAATCGATGTTCTCAGCTTGGGTTGCCAAAGCCAGGAAATCGAGGTAATTTTCGTTTGATTTCGAAGCACAAGGAGATGTTATTTCATTCCTATAATATTCTTCAAGAAATGTCATCAAAATACATCACAATTGATATTGAATGGATCAAAATCAAAATACCAATTATCACATCAAAGTTGATGTGTTAAAATTCTCTAAAAAGACTATTACTCGTTGCTTAACAAAATATGTTCGTTTATTTTTCAGATTCTACGCACTATACCATTTGACAAAGTGAAAATCCGGCTTATAACTATCCATCTAAATGGATATCATGAGGCCGATTATCAAACGTACGACAGTGAGTTTACAACGAAACTCATTGATATGACCACCAAGTTCTTGCAGTCAAAGTCGTATCGTTTGGAAAAGATCATCGACCAGAATTATATTTATGCGTTAGTCGACAAGAATGATATTAGTAAAAATACCGTGACAGCTGCTGCTAAACGACGAGAATATGATGCCGGTATTTAAAATGCACGACCGAAATGAAGAAAATAAAAAAAAGAAGAATTAATTGTAATTTAAAACGATATGAACAAGGAGAAAGAATCTATCAACGCAAAGACGCATTTTAAATACCGTTTAGTCAAATTTTATGTTGGTTAGCACGCTCTCGAGTAAATTTTAACAATTTAGAAATGCGAGAAAAAAACAGCAAAAAACACATGTTAGGGAATAGACACATTTGCATACACCTAGAGAATCTAATGTAATGGATTTTCATATGATCTCGAATCGTTTGTAATTAGCCCCCAGAAGAAAAAGAAAATTACAAACGCGAACACATATACACAAAAAAAAAGATGAACACAAATGTTTAAGCGCACTCCAGTCACAAAGTAAACAGGAACGTTCCATCGACAGATTCAATGAACATTGTTCCAACACGCACACATTCAAACTATTTATTTTTTTTCCTTTGGTCATCATCTGAACGACGATTTAATGCATTCTCTTTACTTAACTTATCATCATCATCATCATCATGATAACCATTTATCATAACATTCGGATTTTCATTTTGAATTTCTCTCTAGCGGCTTTTTACTCATCTCTCGGCAAAATGACGGCGATTATGCGAGTCAATGACTTATCATTCCGAAAATTAGGCAGATTTTTTTGTCCTGTCTTTTGTTAATACTTGAAACAAAGGCATTTTATCGTTTAAAGATTTATGGATATTCTACAATGAATATGTCATTAAAAACACTGGATTTATTTCCTTGCATCGATATATATTGCTCAACATTTATTTACCAAAATTTTCTTCCGATGAAAAAACTCTCGACCCGTCTATAGTTGACTGACGAACGATCTGATCGCGCTTTGCAATCCATTGCGTATTCGGAGTAAAAAGCCTGTAGATTATTATTCTCCTAATATAATTTTTTTTTATTAGTGTAGTATTTATATATATATTGCAAGTATTATTAGTAGGAAGGTTGTCATCATTTTCAATTGTTTAGTAGCATCAACGTTTATATTTCGTACTACATCTACCAATTTATGTGAACAAAATTTTTATGTCAACTTTTTTTTTTGATTGATTTAAAGAAAAAGGCAGGAGAAATGATTTTTTTTCATCTTTTTTTTCGGCGCTCTTTTTTTATTTCAACATTTATTTGTTTTTTCAATTCTATTTACTTTATAATGCATTTATTTTTTCAATCGAATATACACGAGAAAAAATCTATTTATTCATTTTATGTTTTCTTGATAATTTATAATAAAAATCGATTAGACTGCCAATGTGCGGATAGACTGTTGCATGATGATGAATAGCCAAATCCTTTGGGAGGGTTATCTATCGATCAACGCTTAATCATTCGCTTCAGAAAATAATGACGACAAAATTCCAAAAGAAAAACCTAAAATGCCCATCGGAATTGCCCCAAGCAAATGTCTAGTGACATTCATGTCATTCGTATCATCAATCATTGCGTGGAGCTGACTTTTTGACGAAACAAGAAATAGGATTTAAAAAAGTCAACACAAACTTAACATAAAAAAGTGAACAGAGTGACGACAAGAGAAAACGAAAGGCAGAGCTTGTACACCTCAATACCAATAGACCAGTTTTAAGAATCGAACCGACAAATTGTAGTCAGTAAGAGAATTTTACGGGAAAAAAAGCACACGTACATTTTATTCAAAACTTTTTGCACGACATATTCAAATGAACAATTTTCTCTCTTAATTTTTTTTCTCTTCATTTAAATATCAATAAAATGATAAGAGCCAATAAAAGTAAAAAAAAAACTCATAAAAATGCATCATGTTGTTGTTGCTAATTTTTTGTTGGTTGCTTTGCTTTGGATCGATGGCATTTATGATGCGACCGTCATTTGTGGAAATATCAAAAGGAATAATTATATGCGCTGCATATCAATGACCAACCTCAAGCGAATAAATGGAAAACATAAATCCGAAATCCTTGCCATGAGCATGTTTTGTTGTATAATGTGTGATCTTATCGAGAAAAGGGCGAAAAAACGCTTTCCATCTGTTGGCGTCACAACGTATTTATCTAATGCTGATTGTAAAAGGCAAACAAAGCACAAGCAGAGTAAAAAAAACACATCTAGCTACAGACGTCACCAAATTTGTCGCCGATGTAAGGGTCGTACATTGTCGGTCGCTTAAACGAGCGTGCGCATTGAATCATCATCACATTCTCCAAGCTTTTTTTTATTCTATTCAAAGCATTCTTATACCCACAACAAGTCAACTAATATAGGGGCGCTTATATGAGATCGGCATTGTGTCGTTAGCCACAAGTGTACGTGCATCGTGCACACGTCAAATGAATCGCTTCCACCAAGCATATTTTCCAACCCACGTAAAAGCGGAGAAATGCGAATTGCGTATGAAATGCCATCGGATGAAAGAAAAAATATCGATTTCGGTTTCGAAGAGCACAGCGCCTCCAGTTCTTAGCTATTGCCCATTGAGTACACAACACATTTTCGACGACGACTACACCACATACTATATTTATATCCATTTGCTCTGGTGCTGTGTAATTTTCACTTGGTTTTTCTTTTCTACATTTTCCACATCTAGTGCGTATGTTTTGTGTGTGCCCTTTTTGTCCGTTTTTTTAAGTCGCATCGCATCAAATTTCGTTCAGAAAGTATTTTTACCAAATTTTTTTCCTCGTTCATAATTTGGTGTCTGTTTTTTATTCGGTTATAGTGGGAAAAAAGATTAAACAAAAGAAAAAAGAATTTAAAAAAAGCAATTAATTCATGTGTATAGACTGTGAAATGTACTAATCTCGCGAATGAACTCTGAAGTGGCTGCTGAATGGGTGAGTTTTGCTTTTTATTTTCGTTAAATACGTAATAAGTGCCGTATTCGATTCATTATGTTGTCATTCGTCTGTAGTTTGATTTTTTGCCATTTATTGATATCGATGATAATGTACAGAAACCCAACGAAGGTGTTTATTTCGAAAGAATCAAATACCAAAAATAGCTGTTTTTAAATTCCACGCACAATTAGCATTATGGGCGATGATACATTTTTTTGCACAAGTAGCACTCGACTAAACACCCAAACAAAAACAACAACAACAACAATCATTCTTACGAGGTGAAGTTCAGCCAAGTATATATGAAAATGGAACAGAATATACAGAATGGAATTATTTGAATTGTTGTTGAGTTTTCCAAGAAAAATTATGTTCATTCAACATTTTCACCGCAGCAAATGATGTTGATGATAACAGAAAATCCACACTCGCACACAATGGCGAAAGATGGCGGCGCTAATATGGGTGCCTTTTCCATTTTTCATACAACGAACGACCTGTTGGCTATATGCCTTATAAATCTTCTATATGCGTGTAATTAACGTGACATTCCATTGCATGCAAATGCCATTTATCCCTGACTCGATTTTACCACCGTTCATTTTTTTTCAAGCCATTTTCTCTTTGATCTGATTTTCATAGAAAAAAAAATTGCCTAACACCCATTAGATGGCAACAACTATTGTGAAAAACACCCAATCAAACCGTTCAATATGGAATGTTCTATACACGCGAATGTCGCTTAATCCACCATTGAATGCCATTTTGAGAATGCGCTCGGAATTTCTAATTTACTTTCGTACATATTTCTCTTTTTTTTCATGGATATACAAGTAAATGCAACATTGACTGAAAACCAAATTTGACCATGATTTTGGGTGTTAATTTGTTTTTCTTCTAAATTTTTTATGCGTACATACTAAAATCGATGTCATTGTTAGAGTATTATAATGCGTGAGTGAAGAAGACCTCTGAATAAACAATTGTTTTGATTGGACATCAGCCGCTTTTGGAATACTAATTAATGGGGGCGCTAGTTATATCCTTCCAGTTTTTTTTTCACCATTAATATTTTGTCGGTCAATCTGTCGAAAATCCTTCTGAGCGAAAACAAATTAACAAATCATTTGTTATTTATAGCAATATTAATAAATAATTGGTGTCGACGCAAGTGCTATTAAAATTCAGCAAAATAACAAAAAATTGCGGGTGGTTGAGTGCCAACGATTGTTTCATAATCTGACATAAGTCTCTATTAGACTCGGCCTTAGATGGCAAAGCACTCAATGTGGGTGATACAAAAATATCCATTGAAAAATATGTTGTTTGCTAATGCGACGTACAAATCAAGCAATGTAAAGAGAATGAGTAAATAAAACACCTTATGTGCGTTAATATCCACGCAAATACTCGGTATATGGTATACAAGTTGGGTGAGGATGCACGAGAGTAATTGCACCATTGCAGCACATGTTGCAAAATCATTTGTTACTGGCACCTGTGCCCAGAAAACGTTCATCCAAAACATTGATACCATTAAATTAATTGTTCTCAATTGAGAACAATCACATTCTATTTTATCTCTGTCACAAAGCGCTAAAAATACTAAAAAAATAACAATTCACTATGCTTCAAGTTGTGTGTGACATCGAACCGAAATGATTAAAAGGACATCAAGGTTGGACGGAATATGGCAATCGAATGAACTCTGGAAACCTTTTGCTTTGCTCCTTTTGCTAGCCAGTAGTTGTAGCCGCACTTTCTTCACTGAAGCTTCAAGACAAGGAAATATTGGTTGGTTTTTCGCTGAAATTCACATAATTTCAAGATTGTATTGATTGTGAAATTTATTCATGTAGGATGCTTGTATGTCAACGAGCTTTGTCTTCAGGGAATCGAGTATTGTTTCGATGGTAAGATTGGATTTCGTGCCGGGAATTTTCCACGCATTTTAACATTTTGTTTTGTTTGTATATTCAATTGTTACGTGTTTTTTCGAACATAATAGACGATGTAATTGGGAAATGCATTAACGGCGATGAAAATGATATCCACCTAGCTCAAAAGTGAGTTCAAGCGTTCATCAACAGTTATTGTGCATAATTTTCACACAATTATTTGTTAATATTGTTCACAGAGAATACCTCGATCCATCAGCTCAGACAGAGTTTTCCGATGTTTTTCGTGACGTACATTCAATTGTAAATCGTCATTCATTGCCATGGGATCACGAGTACGTACAATGTCGTCTTCAGAATTCATTGTTTGCCATCAGCCAAAAATTGCCTTATTCATCGGCAATTTGCTGGGAAAAAATCCCCGAACGGATCACAAATGTGAATGCTGATGCATTCGAGGCCGCTTTGGAAGAGGCCGAACAAATTGCTGAACAACAGGCAAAAGATGCATTGGACGAAGATGCCTCGATCCAGTATTCACCGCGCGATAACAACTTTGCTGATGAAATTTACTATCCACCGATGAAACGAAGACCGGATTTGGTGTAAGTGAATGAGATTGGAGACTTTTTTTGTCGAAATTTTTTCTTGCTTCCATTTATTGATTCGATTCTTATGAATTCGACAAAAATACCAGATAAACTCAATGACTATTATTGACCAATGCTAATTTTGGTTTGCTTTTCAGTGAATTGGATGTTGAAGAGCAAAGAGCACCTTATGACCATCGCAATCATTATGAGACCCAAGAGGAGGAAAAAGAGCTAAAAACTCGAATGGACGATTTGAAAAATCGCATCGAACTGAGGCGCATGCTGTCGGAATATATGTCGGGCTCCCTTAAACCACCGATTTTCTACAAGGATGGAATCGCCGCTCCAGACGATGTCGCTCAAAATGATGATGTAGATGTCATTGAGAGTTTGTTCGAAGACCCACAACCGCAAGCCAAACGCATTGTATTACCATCGCAGAACAATGACATTTATCCATTGAGCGAAGATTATGATAATTTCCCATTGACAAGCCTTTTCCGTGAACATCAACGAGAAAATATTGAGGATTTGGCCGAATTAGGTGAATTGGAAGAATTCGACCCAAGGAATAATGATCCAAATGAATATCACCACAGGAAAATTCTTGAAACGAATCGACCGAAAGAACAGTCGGCCGTGTACACAGAAGGTGGTTTGGTCTATGGACCAAGTACACATGGGTCATCTTCGCAACATCGGAAACGTAAGCGAATTTTCCAACAGGTAGAGCAGATATAAAAAAATTGAGATTTTATTTTTGTAGATAATCAAGGTTTCAAAAGCCTTCTGGAAGAGATGTCAAGTTCAGGTTTCACACGACACGAGCGATTGGATGTGAAAAAGCCGGGTCCTCCCGTTGATATTCCCATCGAAGGTCATCCGGCAATCAATTCAAGTGCACAAGTATCGCACGAAAAAGACGCGAATAAAGATGGTCCTCTACCCAAAATCAAGAAAGTTTTGCATTTAGATGGCGATGACGACCATGCTCCACACTCGGTTGACACACAATTTGCTCATGTCATCCTCAAGACACCGTAAGTAAACAGATGTTTAGATAGTAAATTCTGATTCGATTTTCATGGCATTAATTATTTAAAATTTATAAATTTCTAGCATGGATACATGGCATGATGGAAGTCGCGTAATATCTGCAATTGCCGACTTGCTGAACATGAAAGATTTACTTACCTCAATTCGAGTTGATCGTCACGAGATTGCATTCCGTGTAGAGAACAATCCAAATAAGACGGCATTAGATGTGGCTCGTGCTATCAACGATGGACGTTTCAAGAACAATTTGTCACGTCGCTTAGGTGTAACTGTGTTGCGGGCCGGTGTTGGAAATAAGACTAAGGAGCTTGGTTCGGACGTTTCATCCACCTATTTGCAAGATCATGGGGAACGTGATAATCTGTCATACATGATGCCATTCATGCTCGCCGCTGCTGCAGCTGCTGCCTGTATTATCATAATCATTACAGTCTTCTTGGTTAGAGGTCACGACAAAACAAAGTACAAATTGGGCGATTTACAAAGCAGCTTCTCCAATCCAGCGGAAAAAGACTATCAAGATCTATGCAGAGCACGAATGACAACTAAAGGTGGTGGCGGCAATACGCCAGCCGAACGTGTCATTATGACCGGCACGCAAAACGAACGACCACCATCATCACGGTCAAGTACATCGTCATGGAGCGAAGAACCAGCACTTACGAATATGGACATCTCTACGGGCCACATGGTTTTGGTATTTAAATCGATATTTGTCTTTGAATTCAAGGAAATTTATCATGTCTCCTTCTGATTTGCAGTCATACATGGAAGATCATCTTAGGAATAAAGGGCGTTTGCAACGAGAATGGGAGGTACTATGCCGATATGAAGCCGAACCAAGTGCTCGTGATGCTGCTTTGCAGTCGCAGTGCGCACAACTGAATCGACCCGATGCACCTCTCCCATATGATCACTCACGAGTCGTTCTTAATCATTTGGTCAACGCCGAAGGTTTGGACTACATCAATGCATCGACTATTGTGAGTATTTCGAGCAGTTTTTCGAGCTTTAATTTGATTTGTTATTCGATGAATTTTAAAGGAACTGACACACCTAATTTCAAGATGGAATTTATTTTTATTTCTATTCTGAAATTGAGTCCTTATTTGTTAAGATAAAAATTCAAAATGGAAGAAGATATTGTTTAAAATTAAAGACGATTGAAGTACAAAGCCGAAATTATGCTGCCAAACTGATTTAGAGACACTTCTGGATCCTTATGAAATTTGATGTGAATATCTTCTCTGCCCTGGGATGTGAGAAAATGAGTTTGTTCATAGTCAGTTGCTGAAACTCTCCATTCATCAAGATCCCCATCATCATTCGTAGCCAATTGTTCACTTTCCGAAAAGCTTACATGGATTGTGTACTTCATGTGGGGCTTAATTACACCATACAACACATCCTCTCACACATGGACACTTTAAATGCAGGATGTTAGGGGACCTAAAAACAAACAAAACTGCATACTACGATTTCTCCGTTGACGTGGTAATAAGAAAAATATCGACCTATCAAATATTTTGTGTGGGCTAGGATTTTTAGACTTTTATATCATCATGTTTTGGTCATTAACTCAACTATTAATGATATTATTGACTTGAAATCTTTTTTCATTTCATAGAACAGAGACATAAAAACAAATTCCGTCGAAAAAATATGCCAAAAAATCATCTTTGGGTAGTTTTTTTGACCAAAATATCGAAAAAAAAGGCCATTTTTACTAGTTTTTTGAACAAAACGCGCACGGTTTTTCATTTTTCCTGATTATTGTGCTACCAAAACTGTAGCCAGAGATGAAACAAATATTTTTCCATCAAATACTAACCCAAAATACCATATCTAGTCGACTTGCATACTACATAACCGCTTACTGATCTCTATCCGTGAAACCAACCAAAAATCAAAAATATCAATTTCGGGTTTTCTGTTTATTTTTCCGGTTAATTTTATTGAAAATGGTTCAAAACTACAAGAAACACTTAAAATAATATGATTATAATGATTTTTACATAGTTAAAAAAAACTGTCGATCGCTTTTTCGTTTGTGCTGATTGGGATCTGTGTCTCGACAAATCGACCAGCAGTAACCCAGAAGCATTGGCATTTTTGAAGGATTTTTTCCGTACCCAATTGTCCGATGCAAAAATTGAAGCAGGTGAATATTAATTATAAAGAAAAACATTTTTAAAAAAGTAATTTCTCATAAAACAAATGTGGTCTCAATGCCCAGGTACACTGAATGGTCCACAAACTAGACAGCTTTTGGAATGCTCCGAATTCTCTGATCTTTCTATACAAATCGACCAGCAGTATTCACCTAACATATGGGCAGAATTTTTACCTTTAAAGCGTTTTTCAATTACAGCAATATCTTGTTGAAAACGTTCACCTTGCTCATCGCTGTAGTCACCGCAATTGTCAGGAAAAAAGCTCATGTGGCTGTACATGAAGTGAATTTTCAATGACATATTCACTTCCATTTCTTTGAATGCAGTCAACATTTCAGCAACAATTTCTTTATAATTCTCTGCTCTGTTGTTTCCCAAAAAGTTATTGCATCATCGCGAATTCCTTCAAATGCCCTCTTTTGGATAGGAGTTAAAAGATCAGAGAATTCGGAGCATTCCAAAAGCTGTCTAGTTTGTGGACCATTCAGTGTACCTGGGCATTGAGACCACATTTGTTTTATGAGAAATTACTTTTTTAAAAATGTTTTTCTTTATAATTAATATTCACCTGCTTCAATTTTTGCATCGGACAATTGGGTACGGAAAAAATTCTTCAAAAATGCCAATGCTTCTGGGTTACTGCTGGTCGATTTGTCGAGACACAGATCCCAATCAGCACAAACGAAAAAGCGATCGACAGTTTTTTTTAACTATGTAAAAATCATTATAATCATATTATTTTAAGTGTTTCTTGTAGTTTTGAACCATTTTCAATAAAATTAACCGGAAAAATAAACAGAAAACCCGAAATTGATATTTTTGATTTTTGGTTGGTTTCACGGATAGAGATCAGTAAGCGGTTATGTAGTATGCAAGTCGACTAGATATGGTATTTTGAGTTAGTATTTGATGGAAAAATATTTGTTTCATCTCTGGCTACAGTTTTGGTAGCACAATAATCAGGAAAAATGAAAAACCGTGCGCGTTTTGTTCAAAAAACTAGTAAAAATGGCCTTTTTTTCGATATTTTGGTCAAAAAAACTACCCAAAGATGATTTTTTGGCATATTTTTTCGACGGAATTTGTTTTTATGACTCTGTTCTATGAAATGAAAAAAGATTTCAAGTCAATAATATCATTAATAGTTGAGTTAATGACCAAAACATGATGATATAAAAGTCTAAAAATCCTAGCCCACACAAAATATTTGATAGGTTGATATTTTTCTTATTACCACGTCAACGGAGAAATCGTAGTATGCAGTTTTGTTTGTTTTTAGGTCCCCTAACATCCTGCATTTAAAGTGTCCATGTGTGAGAGTAAAAGTTGAAATTTGTTGTACGGTGTTATCAATGGTTTTTCCAATTTAAACAGAATGGTGTCGCCTCTGTTAGAATTTGTAGTGATGAATCGTATTTTTTCATGCAGTCGATTTGGAAGGAGTGTATCGCCACGTCTGTTTACACAAATGGTCACCGATAATGGTTTATCTGAGCCCATATTTTGTATACCAAACAATCGAAACGCTCCGAATAATAACCGATGGTTTGAGCTGAACGTAGTGTGTTCATCAACATTTATCATAGAAGAATAACCTTCTCGATTACATGACAGCAAGCCTTGATTCCAGTCAAATGTTCTAACGTTGTTGGCATTATTGGACAACTTGTTCGTGAATTCGGTTGATGCACCTTTTACAATACACACCATGATGTTCGATGATTCTTCCGTGGTAAAAAGCGATTTGTAAGAAGAAAGAACTTTTGCAAAATCTTCTATATTCATTGCGGTGAATGGGATCAAATAGAAACAGTCATTTAACACACGGCGTAGATTTTGTGGGTCTGTTGAATCAATACCATCATGATTGCACACATTTTCAGCCCATCTCATACATGCATAAAATACATCTATTTCAAAGCAGTTGTAATCACCCAATCGTAAAATCACTCTCAGCACATCCAAAGTGGTGTTGATGAAATCGTCTGAATTGAACACCTCGGTCGCATTCGCTTGTATCTTTTCCTTGCAATATTCCTGCAGTTTGCTTAAATTGTATTTGATCGCGAACCCAAGCTGTGTACATATTTCATCGGTATCGGTGTTTGTGATCAAATATTTTTCGCAAATTTCCAAACCGTGTGGCATATCGTATTTTTTGGCCAAGTTTGTAAGTTCGAAGACAGTATCACCGGTTACTTTCACTTCATTCAGATAAAATAGCGCCAAAAATCGTTTGAAGCCATTTACCGATGCATCCGCGATTTTGATATTGCCAATTTCTTTGATATCACCAAAAAACATCGCATGAAATACTGGACTGCGTAATGACAATATGATTTTATGCGCTGGCAAAAGTATTTCTTGACCATTGACTTCAAATGCAAAATGAACATCAGCACTATCATTGCTTAAGTAAAACCTTGTTGGATCGAATGAACAATTGTTCGGGAATCGTTCTTCTGTTTGCAAACCATTTTCTTCCAGTCGATCCATTTACGATGTTTGTGATACGATGTACGTTTTGATGCTGAAAGAGGATGAATATTGTGACGATCACATTATGTGAAATTGGAATGAAGAAAATATGTGGATTCTTACCAACTTTATCGAATCACTTTTTTCCTCTTTGTGTTAAAATAATGCTGCCGAACAGGGCCGTACGGTGCTCTTTTGTGACTACGAAATTGGTTGACGTTTCAATTCTATGGACGCTGCCATATTGACAATTTACGTGCGATATGGTGCACGCACTCAATAGTTCCATCTATTTTAATAAGGAATCTTTATAGGTGGCGCTGCCACATCGTCATTTACATCGATCCAAATATCGTCAAATATAATAACATTGTTTATATAGGCTTTGAGCGCAGTACGAACAGGGCGGTATTTGAATATATAATAAGAAACAATTTGCAAGTCTATGCGTGTTCATTTTTTTTTTAAACTGAACTTGTTCGTTGACCTTTGCTCTGTTGTTCCTAATGGTTTTTCAAGTGGTGTTGATGGTGAGTGTGTTCAATGCCATGTGATTGTTTCAATAGGGTTAGACATATGCTAAAAGTAAACATCATTTACAATTTGCAATAAATAAAATATCAACTGATATTTTTCAATCAATTTCAGACGGATCATGATCCACGTGCACCAGCTTATGTGGCTGCCCAAGGGCCATTACCAGCAACCATTTCACACTTCTGGCAAATGATTTGGGAACAAGGAGCCGTTGTGATCGTGACTCTTTGCCGTTTGCAGGAAAACAACGAAAGTGCATGCGCTCGATATTGGCCAGAGGAGGGCAGTGAAGTGTATCATATGTACGAGGTGCATTTAGTGAGCGAGCATATCTGGTGTGATGACTATTTGGTTCGGTCATTCTACTTGAAAAATCTACGCACTGGAGAAACACGCACCGTGACACAGTTCCACTTCTTGTCATGGCCACAAAATGGTATTCCAACGTCAGCCAAAGCACTGCTCGATTTCCGCCGCAAGGTAAACAAATCATATCGTGGCCGATCATGTCCAATTGTGGTTCACAGCAGTGCTGGCGCCGGCAGAACAGGTAATTTGATGCAGAAAATTGATGCGGTTGTGCGATTAGTGTGATAATTGTGTTTAATTTTAGGTGCCTACATTCTATTGGATTTGGTGTTGGGCCGCATGAGTAAGGGAGCCCGTGAAATTGACATTGCCGCCACATTGGAGCATCTAAGAGATCAACGGGCCGGATTGGTCGCTACACGCCAACAATTCGAGTTTGTTTTGATGGCTGTCGCTGAAGAGGTAAGTGAATCTTGTACATAAAAAGGGTAGTAATCGAAGAAACCGTACACATAAATAAAATGTATACTTATGAACAATACAAGCTTCTCCCAATGAATTAACTATAATGGATAATTCTCACTTTATTCTCCGCAGGTACATGCTATCCTAAAAGCATTACCACAAAACACGCAGAGCGAAAAACGCGAACTGGACATAGAGACCGTCAAGGAGCAGGAAGATGAGAATGCACAAAAACCATCGAAAGATGCAACTGATGCTAAGGAACAAAGCAAAAAGTAAGCAGGGAAATGAATGGGACAAAACAAAACTAAATCAATAACAATGCAATTGCATAAATCAAATTCAAGTAAAAAAAACAGAGAAGAAGAAGAAAAAAATGTGTAGATGTTTTAAAACAAACTAGAAACTGATCATTGCTTTCGAATCCAGTGAAAATATTATATATATATATTATTATATATATATATATATATATATATATTTGAAGCAGATCGAATATCTCACAAAGGCTAAACCTTAAACCAAACAATTAAACCATACGACTTCTGATAATAAATTGAATTAAAAAAAAAACAAAATTATAAATGTGAATGTATATCTGTCGCTGCAACTTGATCATCATCATATTATTTATCAAATGAAAAGAAAAGAAGAAACAAACAATTTCTGACACATAAATCCATACATATATATTTTGAGAAATTAAATACAAACCCAACCCATCAAAAAAAATTGAATTAAATCATACTTATTTATTATATGCACACAAAGTTATAAATAAAAATATTTAAAAAAAAGTGAGAAAAAAAAATATTTAAAAAAAAATAAGAATATATTATCTCAGCTCAGCAAAGATTTATTATTATACATAAAGGAATATCTAAATATAAATGTCGTTTATTGCAAAAATAAAAGTAATTTTTTTTATTTTTCGATCTTCGTCTCAAAAACTAAATCAACTACATCTACAACAACAACAAAAAAACTAATACCGAAACACATCACAAAGAAAAACACATACAAATGAAATTCCTAATAAATATATACATATATTTTTAGTCATATTTACTAAATAGTGCAAACAAAAATTGAGGGAGATGATGGCATTATGCAATTTCAAAAAGATAAGATGAACTGAAGTGAATTTACACACAGAATAAACAAAAAAAAACAAGAAAAATCTCTCATTCCACTCTCTCATTCAATGAAATACAAATTACACACACATTTGATTTGTTTATTTTTTTAACAAAATGAATACAACTATGGATAATGATAATATTTTTTCTGCCAACTACACTGCAAATGACTAAACCAATTAATGAAAAAAACAACTCTATTCTATGTAAATGTAAAATGTATTGTCGTCAATTTTGGAGTTGGCTTGAAATAAAGACGATCTAAACTGAGATGCCACAATCTCCAATAAATTTATGACAGCGTTTTTATTTTCAACCAGAACAGCTGGGTAAAAGACGGGGCGCTAACAAAAGTTTCAATCTCACTCAAAGCGTGTGAGAAATTATTTCGAAGAAATTTCCCTTGACTGATATGCCGTAAGTATACTCATTGCTCGTAGGCAAATGGTTGGAAACACTCTGCATGCCTTCATCACTTCCCACACGGCAACCGATAATAGCCACCTGCCAACTGAAATGGTGGGCGAGTTGTAAATTATTCACAAGTACTGGTGTATTTGCCTAAATGACTTACAAACTTTTCAATGTTGGTGGGGTAAATATATGCAAACGCTGTAAATGTGCATTACTTCGAAAAATTTATCAATGAAACTTCATTCATTTATTCCTTGCTCCGATTTATTTGTCAAAAAATTGGTTTTACTTTTCCGTACACAACGTGTCAAGGGAAAGTATAGGAATTGGTCCCGAAAACTTTTTTCGCAAAATTAGCTTAGATCATCATAAAAACTCATGAAACGCGTAGAAAACCACTTTTTGAGACACTTTTCCGTTCGTGTGCCGTCGTCGTTGGCGTCGTTGGCGTCGTTGGTGTTTGTTAACACGATAACTCAAAAAATAATTGAGATAATCAAAATCTGGAAATACCAAAAGTTTTGTATCCGAAAAACTTAGTTTGAGTTCGAAGATGAGCCATTTTCGATTTGATCCTGGGGTACTTGCCCTAAGAAAAACCTCAAAAAATTGACACTTTTGTATGGTAGGTACCTGTAAATCGACTCCGATTGGCTTCAAACTGTCTGGGATTTCATTTTTTGGAGAAAAAATAAGATTCTGAAAGTTTCATGTTGATCGCATTTGCAGAAGTTTGATTTTTTGTCCTCAATTTTTGTCGAAATTTTCTTGGGAAAAATTGAGGGCCAAAATACAAACTTCTGCAAATGCGATCAACATGAAACTTTCAGAATCTTATTTTTTCTCTAAAAAATGAAACCTCAGAAAGTTTAAAGCCATTGAGGTACGGTTTACGGGTACCTCTCATACAGAATTGTCGATTTTTCACTTTATTTTCATTATTATATTTTCACTGCCTTTATTTCAAGAAAATTCACAAAAAATAACCAAAAGTACCTACGGACAACGCAGGCCAACGGCACGGAAAAGTTCGGGATTACCGATGTAATTCTTTTTATTTTTATTTGATTTTGGAAAAAGTAGTCTTGGAATCTGAAAAATACATAAATTGAGTGTTGAATTATCACTTCAGAACGCTCTTTTAAAGAACAAAAAATGATATCGAATCTTTTGAAAGAACAACTAAATGAGCGCGATTTCAACAAACGCAGACAAATGTGTTCCTTTTGCCTGTTACTACATACAGTTAATGTGACAAAGAAACATCAGCACGCGATCCTTTTTATATTTATCAATCAAATTGCATAAATCTAAACGCTTACGCATTGAGCCATTCGATGCTATGCTTGAACAAAATTTGTTTGCAATAAAACCACCGGCAAATCTGCTACATTCAGAAGAATCAGTTTATGCAATGTGTTGTTAGTGCAGATTTTGTTGAATTTTTGTTCACTAATTTGATGCTTTCAGACATACAAAACCATAATTGAATCGTTTTTATTCGATTTATAGTTTGAAAAATATGATATTTCTACACTTACATTTATATGTAATGTTGAAATGTATTTTGTAAAAGCACAACTATCCACAGAATCACAATGACTTGACAATCGGTTTGAACAGTAAAAAAAATATGATTTTCAAACAAATTCAGACGATCCTCTCTGAGCAGCGGTTGTTTAGTTTATGTTGAAAAAACATTACATCGTGTGGCTTTTTATATCTTGGTAAAAAAAGAAGAGACAAAATACGCCAAGGAATTATGATTACAATGTTTTTTTTTCTTAACTTGGTATGTATTGAGAAGTGATAAAGATTCCTGGTGAATTTTTAAATAATAGATTTTTCAGTAGCTATTTCGTCTATCTCTCAAAGAAGCGTTTTAGGACTACGTAGCACTCGCGTCACACTTATGCTTCATTCGGTAGGTATGGCAATAAAATAATTTTTCACACTTTGCGTATATTTTATCATTTTTTTACATTCCCCTTGAAAATACAAATTTTCCGGGAGAATTATTACCTAATTCAACAAGCATGAAAATTTTAAATAAACATATTTGAAAATAGTAAACAAATTTCATGAAAAAAAAACGATTGAACAAGTAAACAGCAAAGTCCAACCTTTGGTTACGTTCTCAATTTCTGATTATGTTGGAATTATCTCACCTCATTTCAAAAGAAAGAATATTGTCAGAGTTTTGTTTATGTGACTCAATACTGATTGTTCATGTTCAATAAAAAAAAAGTGGTCATTTGTCGTTGAATCTAGTTTGAACGGCCCCAAGCTCGGTTGAAGTTCAATTTGTAAATGATGCTATGTACAGCATTGTTGCATTCGGCTCCAGCATCATCATGGAAATCGATACGAATGTCGCTCTCTAGAGTGTAACTGGTTTTGTTTCCACCTCCGAGAAATGTCCATCGTTTGAGTATGCCCCTTTTGTCATGGTTAAGGTGACCAACTCTGTTTCAGTAAAAATCCGTACAAATGAGTGAAATTTACTTGAAAAATCCGTACAAATCCGTACACTGAAAAAAAAATCCGTACAAAAATGCGGTACATGTAAAAAGACTGAAAATAAGTGATATTTTTATTTCTTGATAGTATGAAACACATTTAAATATTTCTCTTCTGAGGTATCAATGAAAATAAATCAAAAACTCTCATCGATTGACATATTTAAATCTACAGTTTGATCTTGTTCCTCATTCTTGAAAGCATATTTGTCTTGAGCGAATTTTTTTTTATCAAATCTTGATTGCCTTTTAACATGTTGTAGAACTCAATGCACGAATAATCTAAGTTTGATTTCCTTCCGAAGAAATATTTATTTTGGATTTGCAAATCGTACAATGAACCTTAATGTCATTAGTTTCACTTTTTCTCAAAAAATCATACTTCTTTTGAAGGTCTTGGTTGAACACACATTTTCGGCGCGACATTTCGTATTAAAAGACACACGAGAAAACAAGCAATTGTCTTTCAATCAATATGATCGATTTAGCTTCAGAGAGTGAACTGAACTCATTGCATCTTTCTTAACTACTCATAAGTACGAATAAATGGTTACGATTGACTTTCTGAATTATGATCGAAAAATCCAGAAACAAAATTATGATGACGAAAATATTTATATTAGGAGAAGTTGCCATGATTCGTTGACATGTTTGTTGACAACTCATGCTGCATGCAATGTCAACGTCGTTTGTTAGTTGCTTACATTATTGGTTTTCTGAAAATCGATTTCAGTTGCTCACACTATTAGATTTGAGTTGATGCAAACTCGTTTCATCGACGGAACGATTAAAAGAAGTTAAGAATTGAAAAACAACAGTAAAAACAATGATATATCAATAACTGGAATTGTTTGCATAAGTTCTGTATACATTTTTGATGTGTATTTCACGAATTTAGAGATTTGGTTAAAGATTTTTTTTTCATTTTGTTTAAATTCCGAAAATCCGTATAAATCCGTACAAAATCGGCAAAAATCCGTACCGGACGGGACATGAGAAAAAATCCGCGGAAAAACTGAAAAATCCGTACTGTCCCGCAAAAATCCGTACGGTTGGTCACCTTAGTCATGGTGATTGTTGCCAAAATCAATAAAGATGGTGTACTTCACATGTGGTATGATCACAATGGGTTTGTCGAACTTTACACACGGCAGATGGGTCGCATTATGATCAATATTGCCAACAAATCGAATTTCCTCAATCAATTGGCTGGACTGCAAAAACTCCATTCGTCTCATGATGAAGATGTTCCCAGTGAGAAACTGATTTGGACCAGGTCGCTTCTTCATTGGATTGAAACCGCCGAACAACAATTTGTTGGATGAGCTGAACGTTGTATGCTGTTTACTCCAAATGTCAAGCCATACATTCCCGTGTGAAAAAGAAATGACTGACTGACTATAACTTCAGTTGACTTTAGTTGATTGAATTTATATTTTTGTTCTAAGAAAATCACTTGGTCCCAAATGAAGCAACTTAGATTGACTTGTAACTTCAAATGATTTCAGTTAACTATGATAGACTTACACTACACTTTGTACTGAAATGTCAATCAAAGTAAGTCATTTTTGTCCCAAATTAGTTAACTGACTGCTCAGTTACTATTTTTTCACACGGGTTGCCACCAAGAACACATTTTACCAATGATCTATCGCACCAGGTGAATGTGGTCGCATCGTTGTTCTTTTTGGTGGATTTTTTCTTGAAATTGGTTGATATGCCCGACAGAATGAAATTCTGAATGTCGAGAATCTCGTCGACGGAGAAAAGTGTCCGGTTTGCAGAAGCAATTCCGACAAAATCGGTAATTTTCATCTCCAAGAGTGGGATCATGTAGAAGCAGTCATCTAATTTGCAACGCAAATTCTGTTTGTAGGTTGCATCGATACCATCTTGGTTGCAAGCATTTTCGGCCCATCGCATGCATGCGTTGAAAACATTTTCTTCGAAACAATTGAGGTCATTAATTTGCAAAATCACCCGTAGAATATTCGCACTGACATCGACGAAACCTTCCGATTCAAACACATCGATCGCATTGACCCGTATCTTCTCTTCGCACTGCTTTTGAAGTTGCTTCAGATTGTACTTTATTGCCAATGTGAGATGTGTGCACAGAACATTTGTTGTCGAGTTTTCCAGCAAAAATCGCAAAAATGCACATTTCAAGATCTTTCGCCACATCGTATTTATCAGCCATATATGTGAACTCGTAAACATTCTCGGTCGTAATTTGTACTTCCTGCAGATAGAACAACTTCAAGAAGTCTTTGAATCCGTCGATCGATACATCGGTGATTTTGATGCTGCCCGATTCTTTTAGTTCACCAAAAAACATTGCCCCGAACACTGGGCTGCGTCCATCTAGTAAACAATTGTGGGATGGTACAAGAATTGGTTTGTCATTGGGACCGAACGCGAAATCATCAGCGAATTTGTCATCCAAGTAGAGATCTGTGATGAAATTTTTGCTGCGACTTTGATTGCTGCTCTGCATTTTACGTCGTTCAGATAGTAGCGAAAACATCTTACGGTTTCACTGAACGTTGAAATTGCCCTGAACGTGAGAAAATATGTTAAAAATTAATCGATTTGAAACTATTTGAAAAACCATTCCGACAAACCTCTGATTTTGGTTAAACACAATACAACATTGACTTGACAGGATAGCGGCACGATTGAGAGTGACGTACGCTTTTATTCAAGACAACAAACTAAACTAAACTAAACAGATGCAAATGTATGCGTTGAATGATGTGCATCGGATTATTCGATGCCGTGCTCTCTATAAAATCCACTCTTATACAAGAGAATCAATCCATCATTGTTTGCTTCTCGGTTTTCCATCTGACGTTGGGATTTTTTTGGTTCACATTTAAAATATTCAGAATGAGATCACAAGGTTCGATACCATACAATAAAAGTGCATACTCAAGAAAAAGACAACAACAAAGAAACTCCTTTGATTCTTGTGACAACGATTGCGATATTGAACTCAATCATTTTATTCGAAAATTGAAGGGTTTTCGAAAACGGAACGAACGGTGATTCGAAATAAGTCAACATAAATTTCCTTTTTATTGCAATGAAATGTATTTATTCGAAAATTGTACATATATATATTTGTTTGTACGATAATAATTACACTGGATTGGAATCTAAAACAAATTGAATGTATTATTTTCATTGTAAATCTGTCCATATAAATAGCATTACGAGAGTATCTCTTTGTACTCCCTTCAAACTTTTCCAAAGTAGCAGCGATTTTCTACGATTTTTCCTTTGTGACCCGTGTGTGTGCCCAGTATCTTACTGTCAACCATAACGACTTTTGTCGATGCAGAGAATTTCGTTTTGACCTTCCAATTGTTTCGCTGTGCGAAGCTAATTTCATTTATAACTGGAATGTGTATAATTCCCTGGTACGTTATTACCCAATGCTGAATACCACTGTCAAATTTGATGAAAGCAAATGCTTTGCCATTCTCGACGTATTTACAGGTGTCAACATTCACATGAAATCCATAGTCGGAATGCAACAATCGACCGACCATTCCAAATGCTGCCGAAAATCCATGCTCTTCGTCGCCATCGTTTTCGTGTTCATTGTTCTCTTTTCCACCGGCCACATGATGAATACGAAGTGTGCTGATATTGTGCATATCAGCAACTAGTGATCCTCCACTGAAACCTGGCGTAAACACATACTTTGGATCATCTTCTTCAGGAATTACCGGTACATCAACGTATCCACCGAGTGGTAACCAATAGGCGAATACGGGTTTTCGTGCCTCAGAACCACCAGGCGTCATTGTACCGATAACTTGAAGAGCATGATAAGCTTGATAACTTTTTACAATTTTTAAAGCACCGAATTGAAGGATGCCACCGCCGTTTGTGTTTGTAATTACTGATCGACTGTCATCTGAGAGATTCACTTTTTGTGAACTCAACAGATCAGTTATAATGGGTGTCCTGAGGAATTCTTCACAGGTTAATGCATCTACTAATGGTATAGGCCGTGCAGTTAGGCTGATATCATTCAAATCTATTGGTGGAGTTGTTTTAACAGATGGTATACGTAATTCCCTTTTCTCTCCCATCATCAATTTTGGCACATAAAATCCGTTCTCTTGCTTTTCCACGGGACAATCACACAATGACATGCTAAAATTGAATACCACTTTACTATATACTGTTTTACAAATTAAATGAATGAAATCTCTTTAATGAAATTATTGACTACGGCTAATGAATGATTCTATTCAAGTGAACAACGTCAACTGAAACTGAAATACTTATTCATAGGCAAGAGATGTCTTAACTTACTGAACCATTCCAAAAATAAGCACAAGTTTGACTACACAATTTAAATTTGTTGGCCCAAAAGCCATTTTTGATTTCGTCGTCGTCTTGATGCTCTTTATTCGACCAAATGAAAATGCACAAAACTGGTATGTTCTCCAAAACAATTGTCCAACTGTGGATAATCTGTGAAATTGTTAATTATTTTCGTTAATAACATTTTCAAGTAAATTATTTTGAAGTAAAATCAAATAAATCTTTTTATTTGAATCAATTATTCTTCTTTTATTTGTCTTTCAAATGATAAATTTACCCTGGTGAAATGAAATTGTTAATGCGCAGCAATGTTGCTTTCTTGAATGTTCTATTGAAACTAACGTAAGTTAGTCGTACGACATCCATCACCGTTAACGTTACAAATCCAATCTCACTTAGTTTGTTGTTATAATTCTGATATTTTTAATAAAATAATTGATTGAACTACAATCTCCTTAACTCCGTTGATTAACGACTTCCTTCGTGTTATTCAAAAAGTCCCAATGCACGATTTCAATTGTACGCTGACACTGAAATCATCTGTTATTGAATTGTTGGATCATAAGCAAACAGAATGAACGCAAAATGTATTGTCTTAGGTGCATGTGTGTGAGATACGAACATTTTAATTCGGCTTGTGTACTTAAGTAGATATGAATTTGTCTGGAAATAACATCATTTGTATAATCACGGCATAATTTTCTATTATGGGACATAAATTACTATAACTTAAGTTAAGTTACTTAACGATTTTGATTTTTCAACTGGGCCTTTTTCATCTACAAATCGCAGCGGTCTCATTTTGTTCTTATCTCATAAAGTTAATGACCTGACAGATCCTGTTTTTTTTATTAACCGTGATACAAATTCTGACAATCACGAAATAATTGGTTGAAAAATTTCCATTAAAATGGCTTTATGGATAGACAGCCCGTGTGCGAATATTGTAACTGACCAGTCAGTTAACTAATTTCGGACAAAAATGACTTACTTTGATTGACATTTCAGTACAACGTGTAGTGTAAGTAGTGTAAGACTATCAAAGTTAATTGAAATCATTTAAAGTTACGAGTCAAAATAAATTGCTTATTTTGGGACAAAGTGATTGTCTTCATACCAAAACATAAATTCAATCAACTACAGTCAACTGAATCTAGAGTCAGTCAGTCATTTTTTTTTCCACACGGGAGGCCATACTTTTTCTAGCTAAATGATGAAGTTAAACTTCGCTTCTGTATCTTTATTGTTAAAATACATGAATTTATTTGTGATTGGATGATGAGTTTCTCGAAGTAAATTCCATGATATTCACATTATCTATTGCAAAAGATGCCTTGCTTGAGGTAAGGCAATCGTTGAAAAGTTCTGAATAACTCAACTGGTTATTTCGTTTGATGGATATTTCAATACGATTTAGTTTGCAAATATTCTCAGTCCAACCCATCACATGCCAAAAGTCCACTTTGATTTTCTAAAGCTTCTTCAGAAAAATATAAAAAAAAACAAATCACTTGTGTAGTTAAATACGTGGTAAAAAAAACTTACATAACTCGTTGAAAGGATGGTATATATGCAACATGGAACCATATACATTCAAAATTGCAAGAACAAGTGGCATTTTACATTATACAACAAGATCCCCACCGTTTTCTATTTGCTGACATTACAATTTATTGAATGATTGCTTTGAATTAGAAGAGTTTCCCTGAGTTACATATTCAATTTTTCTGTTCTCAAAACAACGAATAAAATCTCCGATATTTCAATTCATTTCAAAAATATTCAATTTCGTTTAATATCGTGACAAAAATCATATAAACGTTGACGGAAATAGCTTAACAGAAATGTTTCTCAATAACAATAATGAGTAATTCAGATTCTTATGAGCTATTTACAGCGACTAAGGGTTGAATACACGGGGTTTGAGTAGAGTAAAACCATTGCCACCACGTTTAACGACGGGTGTGGCTTTTGTTGTTTTCTTGGCCGTTGTTTTAGCCGCAGTGCGTCGTCTTTTTGGCGTGCCTGCACTCTTAGCGGCACCCTTCTTTCGCCGGAAGCTACCAAATCCACGCTTACGTTTCCTTCCACCACCACCACCTGTGGTACTGCTCCCTGCCGCTGCCAATGATGACCAGTTTGTGTTGTCATCGTCTGATTCTGATTCGTCGTCAATTTGTTCTTCAATCGCTGCATCGATGTCCAATTCGACGAGTGCTTTTTCACCAGCATGATACTGCAAAATTTCCAGCAATTCTTTGCCATACTTCTCGTAATTGGCCTTCGTAACGTGTGGCAATTTCATCATTTCATCTTCGCTCGTTGGCATTTGTTCGGCCATCAGTTTCAGTGCTTGATTATTCATAACACTGCCCACAGTAACATTTCTAGCTAGTGCCATATCGCGACACTTCTGTAGCAGATCCATGTAACAATCCTCTTCGATTTTCTTGAGTGCTTCGTTCGTTGCCGAACGCGGCCCGTTATCTTTGATATTAACATCGGCCTTTTTACCCTTCTTTGCTTTTACGTTCTCAATGGCGAATTGAATGCGCGTTTTTCCCGACATCAGCTTGTCAGCTTGCGTGCCGATTTTCAAATAAGCCAATGGGATTTCTCGCACGAAAATCAATGTCTCTCGCAAGTATTCGTCGAGCACAAGCATGTGAAGTATGCGTTGAACGTCCGAATTTGTCCATGATTTTAATAGACCGTGGTATTCCGACTCATGGTAACCTAGAACGAATGTAGAATGCGAAAATTGAGTGTCACAATTAAAGGTCTCTCGTGTATATCTTCTGAATCTAGTGCCGGTATTCTACAACACATTCCGAACACTTTGTTTGGAATTATTCTGAACGATCAATTGCATTTTGGAAGGTGGCTCCCAAACGTTCAATCAATAAAATTGATACAAATCCATATATAACGTTTGGGTGCCACCTTCCAAAACGCAATTGAACGTTCAGAATAATTCCGAACAAAGTGTTCGGAATGTGTTGTAGAATACCGGCACAGAATACAACAATGTTTGCATGAAAAAAAACCCTAAATAAACTCGAATAAAATCCAAGCAAATGATTTAAATTGCAAACACTTACCGTTTGCAACGACGTTTTTCACCGTTTTTCCCAACAAAACTTCAACCAATTGAAGCAATGTTACGCGCTGCGTGCTTCCATTGCACAGATCACGTACTGCTTTCAACACCTTTTTGCACTCGTCGGTTACATCTTTGACCGTGAACTTGGCCTCTCCATCATTGTTCAGGCAATTATCACAGGCTGTGTCTCGTTCAGCCAAACATTGCTCTCGAGTGAAATTCTCCGCAAAATAGTTTAGCTGAATTGATCGTCGACAATCAATTACGTTTTCGCAATAGTTAACAATTTTGCGCAAATTGTTAGTATGCACACGTTTTACTTCTAAGCTAATTGACGTGTCCAAATCCATCAGTTTAATCAATCGTACCATATCGGCGTAGTTGTAGTACAATATACAAATTGACTTCAAACCGTCACGCCCGGCGCGACCCGATTCTTGGTAGTAGCCTTCAATCGATTTCGGTAGCGAATAGTGAAGCACATACCGTACGTCTGGTTTGTCAATGCCCATTCCTATGAAACGAAACATTCAATTTAGCTTGGAATGTGAAAAGGGAATTGCCTGTTCCCAATTTTTATTTTGTTTACTTACCAAATGCAATTGTGGCACAAACCACTTTGAATTTGTCTGTGATCCAGTCTTTTTGCACTTCTTCTCGTTTTTTATCGGCCAAACCAGCGTGATAGCTGGCCGCTTTGATTCCAACCTGAATAAAAACGATACAATTTGATTCTTCGTCTTGCACCCAATGAAACTGTTGTGTTATGGAAAATGATGACAAAAACTGGCGAATCTCACCGATTTAAGACTTTCAGCCATTTGATCGCATTCCTTGCGTGAAAGACAGTAAATAATTCCAGACGCTCTTGGGAACTTTGTCTTGATGAGCTCCTTGATTTCTTCGGTTGTTTTCGCTCCACTTTTCGGCTTCACCATGTATTGAAGGTTTGGTCGATTGAAACTGCTCAAAAACCACTTGCAATTCTTCAGATCCAATTGTTGCACGATATCAGCTCGAACGCGTGGTGTGGCTGTCGCTGTTAATGCCATCACTGGTACATTCGGGTAGTTCCTTCGTAGTACACCAAGTTTTGTGTAGTCTGGTCGGAAATCGTGGCCCCAATGACTGAAAATGAAGTGAGAAATTGTATTTTAAGCCAATTGAACCGTCTTATATATTTATTTTCATCTAACCTAACACAATGCGCTTCGTCAATGACAAATCGAGCGATGCGGTTTTTGTCAAACAAAGTTTTGAACAGGCTTTGAAGTCGATTCGAAGCGCTGATCTTTTCCGGTGTAACGTACAAAACTTTCAGATTCGGCGGATTTGCTTCGAGCTCTCTGTAGATTGTGTTCACTTCTTGCAGTGTTTGTTCACCGGAGAGGTTTCGAGCGGGGATATCGAGCGCTTGCAGTTTGTTGACCTGATCCAAAATCAGAGACTTCAACGGGCTGATAATGATTGTAACCGATTCGGTCAGAGTAGCTGGCAGCTGATAACACAGAGACTTGCCACCTCCCGTTGGCATCAGCACAAAGCAATCATGACCGAGCATTGTGGCGTTTATCGCTTGCAATTGATTCGGTCGAAATGATTTCAAACCGAATGTATATCGTAGCGAGGTTTGCATCAATTCCGAGTGCGGATATCCATACCCATCGAATTCACCTGTGATGCCATCGTTTTTTGTTCCACTGTAAAAATTGCCCAAGTGACTGTTGTTCGACTTTTGGCTTTGCTGCGATGTGGTTTGCTGGGACGTCGTTGTTGGTGTTTGCGATGAAAATCCATGTTCAATGCCATTGACACTAGTCAAATCGATCGAACTAGTACCCAAATCATTTCGCGAAACCATCAAATCGAATTTATCAAAATCATCTGCGCCAAACATATCAGCACCAAAGCCATCATTTATTGCACTGGGCTGTGCACTCGTTTCGAAATTAGATGGTCTCATCGGTTCAAAGATAGATGAGCGGGCGCTGTAGTCAAACGAAGATGGCGGATCACTGTATTCCGACGATGACGTTGGCACCGGCGCCGGCACTGGCTCATCATATTGAGTCAGATCCTGTACTTGTTCCACCTCCAATTTTTCAATCGACCGTTGAACCACTTTGGTTTTCGCTTTCAGGCTTTGTTTCAATACCTTCAGCTTGAGGAAAATCTCAGCGTTGCTACCAAACACCGTTTCCAATGTGGATCGAGGCAAAACATCAAACAGCTCACAACATTTCTCCAGAGATTCTGTGTACCATTCCTTGATTTGCGTTGAATGTTTCCTAAGCTGCGGCAAACTGCTTCGAACTTGTGATGAAATCGTCGAACCCGCGTTCACCTTCTTTACGAATGCTTCGACATCAGCGAATGAGTTTTTTCCATTAACCGGTGAAGTCACATCTTTCCTGAAGAGCAGAATAATTATTTTATTAAATATTTTTTCCATTCATTCAATCGAATTGACACATTTCAATTGATACAATTTTTTTCGTTCATTCACTTTTTGCAATCTTTCTTTTCAATGGAATGTCAATTGTCAAAAAGAATTATTCTTTAACAATAAAAAAAAATCTAACTTACGGCGAATCATTCGATTTGAATGAGTGGTCGGCTGGGCTAATCGGTGGAGCTGGCTCTGGCCGGTTTGAACTCATGGACGATGAACTGCTTTTAGATGTTGTGTTGGTCGGTGTTGCACCATTTTGTGATGTATTTACCGGTGAAAATTTGTTGATTGGGCTTGCTGTCGAGTTTGAGGCTAAATTCGAGATTGAACTGGTCTGGAATGAGTTTGAAATCGAACTCGAATATGCGTCTGAAGTAACTGTTGCTGTTTTATTGCTCGCAGAACTCGTGCTTGAAAATTCAAAACCGCTTATACTAAAACTCGATGCATTCGATGGGTTTGAGATCTGTGTTGTATTCTGATTGGTGGTATTGGCCGGTTTTGAGCGTGAATTGAACTTGAATTTGCTTGTTGTGGCAGTTTTCTTGGGCGATGTTTTCAAACGCTCCATATTTTCGTCCAATTTCTTCATGGCATTCACGTACGATGCATTTGAATTCAATTCTTTGTCAATATCCACCGTATCGAATTTAGTTTTCTCATTTGCTTTCGGTGTTCCGTATTTCGCGTACAAATCCTCCATCGTTGCTACTTCATTTTTGGCCAATGTTGATGCTCTCATGAATGTCACGTCATTCGACTTAAAATCCACAAAAAAATCATCTTCATCCATAACACTTGCCGATGTGACTTTTTTCGCCGTCGCGACACTCTTCACCGGACTGTCTTCATCGCTAATTATAACGCAGTCATTCGCTTTCTTAACAGTACCCAGGCCATTCGTTGTGTTTTCGACCGTGTTCAGTGTGCGATTCTCGTCTAAGTTTGTTTGCAATTGTAGTCGTGACGTTGGTTTGTTGAACTTGAATTTGCTTGTTTTCACGGGCACCGACACATCTGTTGGATTCATTGTTTTGGTCGTGTCTTTTCCATTGCGTGCCATAAATGTGAAGAGTGATGCTTGTTTTGACATGGTAATTTGCGACAGAAAAAAACACAAACTGTGGACTAAACAAACACCAACTTCTTATCCATTTGCAATGTTTTGAGGTTGTACAACTTTTCGCGCCTTTTCATTGACTGTGTCTTTAAAGGAAGAAGCAGACAATGTGGTTTATTGAAGCAAATTGAATTTTTCAATGGAATATTTGTATGTTTTTACCTTTGAAATCAATTTTTCTCGATGAAAATTCGTCGTTCAACTTTTTACATACTTTTTTTTGGAATTATTTTACAATTCTTCTGTTCAATGGATGCGCGACACGAATGATATACACAAAAATGCAAACAAGTTTCTACTTTGACAGTTTAAACGTCAAACGCATGATCTGTCAAAATACCAACGTTTAAATAGCCAATTCATTTGCATAGCGAATTATACATTTTAACGTGATTTTTTTCGCTGAATATCGCAAAATAATTAGGTTTTTTGGAAATAAAATTGCATATCAAAGGACGAAGCAGGTGGTAGAATGAAAGTAAAAATCAAAAGTAAGTTAAAAATTCAACTCGCAATTGTTGTGAATTGACGTTCAATGTAAACGATTTTGCAATGTATTTGGTGCATTGGTCTTCGTGTTCAAAAGTGTTTGACTTGGTTTCTGCGTGTTATCATTAATTTGTCTGGATTTTGCCATATTTTCTTTTAGATTGGGTGAGTGTGGCAACCTGGCGATGGATAGCTAACGACGACAATTGTGGAATATGCCGAATGCCATTCGAAAGCTGTTGTACTGAATGCACATTACCCGGTGACGACTGTCCTCTTGGTGAGCATATTCACACTGTTTATTTTTTCGTTACCTCATAATGTTCATTCGTTGCTGTTCTTGTTCTTTCAAACAATTCCCGAAATTCATCGCTCTTCTATTTTACTTTCAGTTTGGGGTGCTTGTTCGCATTGCTTCCACATGCATTGCATCGTCAAATGGCTTAACTCACAACCAATGTCACAACAGTGCCCGATGTGTCGACAGGCTTGGAAATTTAACGACAAATGATCTCTCTCTCTCCAAAATAATAAATTATCAGAATAAACTACGAGATAAGGAATAAAATCTATTTGAAGAATAAGAAAAAAGCGTTTTTACTGACTACAGAGTGATCCCTGGTTTATGTTATTATTTTTGCTACACTAATCTTGCCGGTCGTTGAAAGGTTGGGAAATAACTTTATAGAATTGTTTGTCACAGATAATTCAATTTGAGTTCATTGGCACAGTAATTGATTCAATTATCATCTTTCTTCATAAACCGTCGGTTTTGTTTTTGTTATTGGAGTGATAATCAAAAGAAACATGTTGAAAAAAATCATATCTATCTTTGTCAAAACCAGATACTGTGTGCTAAACTACTGAATATTTATTGCAAAACAAAATGTCATTAAAGTGAATCATTGGGAATATTCAAAGTCATAAACATTTACTAAATTGAGCAAATCACATAAATTTTAGATATTTTTTTTTTGTTCGTTCTTTTGTATTGAGCAATTGATTGATTGTCATGACGCATGGAGTTGTGTGGCTGTAGGCTGAGAAAACATTTACGGGCATGTTTGCAAACGATTCACCCAGCTATTTTTGTCGCATTGATTGGCAATTTCGCACTTTGACGTGGATTTGCACCAGCCACAATTGAAGTTTTCTTGCAAACCAAAACACGTTTTGCAGCTATTTCCCAATTTGTTGCAGTTGTAGACTACCACTATAAAAAGCAAAAAAAACGTGTTATTTTTCTGAATGTGAATCAGCTTAAATATATTAACAGCCTCGTGAGAAGAGAATGTCACGATGAATTGATATTTTCAGATGAAAAAACAATACGAATAAGACTTACAATGCACATTATTTGGGTTGGCCAATGCTCTCGTTTTTTCCCATAAAATTTCAAACTTGACAGTTGACTTTGGAGATTGTGTTGTAAATTCGACGGCGTCACAAGTGAATGTTTCGCCCAGCAATTGAGCATTTGCGATGACTTCTCGTCCATCGATGGTGAATTTGCAAATGAATCGCTTTTGAAGGAGAAAATGTCCAGTGACCTGAATCTTGGCTTTAATGGATTTTCTCGTGCCGAATGGAACTAGAATCTCATTTTGATTGTCAACAGCCGTGAATTTGGGACAGAATTCGGGACCTGAGCGACTAGCTTTGGATTTCTAGATATTTTTATGCGATTATAGAACAAAAAATATATCAATTATATTGAATTATTTGAAAAAGAGGAACAAAATCGAAAAAGATAAATGAAAAACAATGAAGCAAAACATGGTTTACTTCAAACACAATGTTAAATGTCAAGACCAATGTCCAGAGTTCATTCCTAAGCTCAACGCTTATACTTACAGCACTTGCGACCAAAATATCGTTACGACAGACATCGGGTACGTTATTCGTGCATCGATATGCGGCTGTACACCAATTGCAACCAGATTGCTGTGCTGTTACACACTCGGTGCAAGATAGCAATGATGAACAATCAGAGTTCGTTGAAGGTGCTGATGCTCCATTTACTGAGAAAAAATTCAATGTTCAAGTCATGTTCTTTGGAAAACACAAAAATTGGTTTGCAAATTGATGCAAATACCTTCAATGCTGAGATATTGAAGTATTGCTACGACGAGCAATACAAGATGCAATAATTTTGCCATCGCCGGTTTCTGTATCTATAAAGAAAGAATACACGGAAAAATAAAAAAAAATCTTTTCTTCACAACAATTTCGTCATTCGTAAAATATCAAATCAATATTTCAAAGATGATTTTTTTTCGACCGGTTCAATTGTCTACGTGGAATAGAGACATTTGACGCTATACTAAATATGCGACACTCGCAGAGAAAACAACAAAAACATTTCCGTTGATTCGGTTCGATGCAACTACACACTACGATAAAATCAACAAAATGTTGACCTTGAAAACTATTTTACCCATATGAAAAAAAGGTACAAATACAGCAATTATACCATTTAAAAAACGTTTACAATCGCCTTTTTTCGTCTATTTATAAACACACAGTAAACTGTGTTAAATGAAAGCTATTATGATAACTCACTTCAGTGAACGCTGTGTGACTGACTAGTGAACGCTGTGAAATCTGTGTGTAAACTGAGAGACAACGGCAAAACGAATAATGTTTAACATCTCCTCGGTTAAGGTTTAAATGTTGTGACATTTAAATTATGGTACAAACACACTCTCAACGTACGCATACATTATATGTTGATTTGCTTGAAATTGGACGTTCTTTTACACGAAACGACACTGAATATGGAACTATGTTAGATTAACCGATCGTTAATCACAAACGATGCTAGAATATATTGGTTCGTTCTAGTTACAATTGCAATGTATATATGTTTCATCGCAGAGGTAGGTATAGCAAATGAATAAAAAATAACATTTTCTTTAGGTGAATATACTTTAACACAAAAATGATGAGACGCAATTGTCTTGGTACGTGAGTTTACCTCGAAAAGAAGTTCACTTATTTGTTTAAAACGTAAAGTAAATTTTAAACTTTTTTAAAACCAATACTTCGATTTATGTGACATTTTCTTCGTGAATATCAAATATTGACTCTTCGTTAATTATGATGTTTATTGAAAATTTGTATGAAGTTTCATACGAAATAGTTTTGAATCGTTCAACGAATATTCGAAAATGAGACAGTCGTTGATTACATTAATCACATTTGGGTGACTATCTTTTGTCGTATTATTTTCTCTCTAACTATGACTTTATATAACAATGATGAATAATGCAAAGTTTAAGCAGGGGCTAAGAATCGCACACTCAGTTTGCAGTGCAACTCATTTTAATGAGGGCCACAGCAGTCTGTGCGATACTCTACTCATCTAAAAGAATCATGTGCGCCTCACTCACTCACCAGTCTTCCGCTTCTTCTTCTTCTTTTTCTTCTTTTCGCTATAGCAGATACGAACAAAAATAAGAAGAAGAAGAAGAAGCAGAACATAGTGTGCGGTGTGCGTATAAAAACTCATTTTCGTGAGACGAGCAGCGCAAACGAATTTATCGTCTTTCATTCAAGTGAGTGTGTGCGTTACTTGCAGCGTCCACTCAGTGCGATTCTTAAGCTCTGCGTTTAAGACCAATGAATCGCAACAATGACTGTATATTGCGTAGCAAAAATGACGTGTTTGCCTCATTTAGCCTGATCAACTTTCATGCTCCGCTCAGTCTAATCAATTACATTCGAATTCGTTCATCGACGCGAGAGACATTGCTAAAGTGAAAATGATTTGCTTAATTCGGAAGTGGTTGGAATTGGCTATCAAGTGTAATATGATCATACATGTATGAATGTATTTGTGAATAGTCATGTCAACTTTCTGTCCTATGATCAGGTTGAGCACATTTTAAATAAAATAAACGTTGCCAAAGCATTGCTTGGGAAAGTGGTCATTTCAAAATACTTAGCAGTTAATGCTAAAATATTAATGTACAAACATTTAATTAGACCAATAATACGATTTATAAGAACGAAACAACAACACAATTTTCTAACAGTAAAATACTGTGCAGAACAGCCAGAATTGAGCGGATAAAAAGGAAAATGGTCAAGAATAATAATATTGTTTATCGATCGAAAAAAAGAAAAAAAAATCGAACTCTATCGTATACAAACTATGATGAAAACTACATAAAAAAGAACAAATATAAGCCACTTAGGGTCTAAATATTTCTTTTACTTTAACACGTGTTAAGTCGATTTTTGTGATAACTTCGGTACTAGTTTAACACTGGAAATGTAAATATGTCTATGCATTTAATAGTGTTATCTCCGTATTTTGGTGCTAATGGTGGAATTTCGTGTTAAAACGGAAAAAATGACTTCAAATTGTGTTTTAACATAGATGATTGCAAATTTCAATTATATTTTATTGTTTAATAACATTGTTTATTTGTTCGAAATGCTTTCAGCTATTTATATCTACAAAAAATTTCTTGGATATTTTGGAATTATTTTTAAAACAAGATCAAATTAAGAAATAAAATTTTGATTTTTTAGGCAGCTTTACATGACGGAATTTGGTTCACGGGATTTGGCACGGGA